AATATATTTAATTCGCCAATTTCTCTCGAGTCTGTCGCATCGATCGTCTCGAGTGAAATTTAGTATAGATTCTTAATCGCAATTGGAAATCTTCCCTCGCGGTGCTTTCCATTTCTAACGATCGCGATGAGTCCGGAGACTAATCGTTACAACGTTCCGTGAACCACGAAAAAAAACGATTTCTATTTTTCTTTGACTCGCTTTTCTCGTCATCGATGCGAATACATTAACGTTTTCTTACTTACCGCGATACCTTACAATAAATACAATCTTGACGTGCTGTCAAAAAATTCTATACCAATTTTCCTCACATAATTAATTGTATTAATTATCATCTTTTGAATTTCCATCGATATTTATAGTAATTTATTACGAAATTTTAATAAATTTATTTATATATCATTTTTTCTGACATATCATCTTTTGAATCCCTGTTAATATTCAGTAAAATCAGGCATAATTAAAATATCATAAAAGGACGATTGTGAATAAAAAAGATTGCAATCAATTTTAGCCATTTTCAAATTTTAATTTATTATGAAATTTTAATGCATTTATTGATATTGTATGATAAAAGATAAAAAGTAATAATCATTTTTTTTTTATTGATGACATGAAAATGGATATTAGTTGGGCCTCGGGTGGCCACGAGGGGTTAAGAGTTATTTTAATCAGGCACGCGTGAAAAACCGCAGACGAACTTGATCGTTTCTCTACACTTGACCAGGGTGTGCGCATGATTTACGCGCATGAATAAAGTCCACCTGTCGACAGGTACATACATTTATATAGGTGCTCACCAAACAGGTTCGTTTAGGACCACACGACGACCACTATACATAGTCATTTAATCGGCGAGCTGTGTAATGCGATATTTAGGGGACTTATATTTATCGTGTATCTCATACAAGATCAATTACATCTTTTTTCTTTTAATTGCAGCGTGATTATAATATTATAGTGAAAACGTAGAATTGCGAAAAAAAGTACGTCAATCTGAGAGTCTATTGTGTTATCTTAATTTCCGATTGAAAACTATTCCGTCTCGTTATTACAGACAATTAATATGTGTTATCGTAAGATGCGCATAAATATCGGCGAGTTAAATGCGAGATTTCCGGAAAAAGAATATAATACGCCGCATTACGTCCTTCGATTTATTAAAGGTGTCAGTTATTGTGTTTTAACACCGGTATCCATCTACCGTTGCATGAGATTATACACATATATTTTGCAAGTTATTAATTTGATAATAAGCATTCTCCATTAAACTTTATTATCTGACAGAAAATAAATATTGGGTTGTTCAAAAAGTCATTGCGTTTTTTTCCAATAGATAGCGCTGTCCACATTTATTTGTATCTGAGCGTGCCATGAATGTCAAATGTTTATGCACATTTTGTTGTTGACACTTAACCTAAAAACCAAAAAAAAAGTTGACGCAATTTAGTCGAGTTTTGTGCTTGCAATTGTAGTTTAAACATGGAGAATTTTGAAGAGCATATTCGCCATATTTTGCTTTATTACTTTAAAAAAGGGAAGAAAGCAACTGAAGCAAGGGAAGAGTTGCGTCAAGTTTACGGCAGAAATGTCATTGAAAAACGTCAGTGCCAGAACTGGTTCGCCCGATTCCGTGGTGGTGATTTTTCGGTTAAAGACGCTCATCGCTCCGGTAGGCCTTCCGAGATTGACGACGATAAAATCAAGGCATTGGTGCAAGCAAATAAGCATTCAACGGTTCGGGAGCTTGCTACCGCTCTAAAAGTGTCCATTGGAAGTGTTCATGGACATTTGAAATCGCTTGGTTTCGTGAAGAAGCTCGATATTTGGGTACCGCATGAGTTGAAAGAAATTCATCTGACAAAGCGTATGAACGTCTGCGATCAACTCACCAAACGCGAAGAAAACGATCCGTTCTTGAAGCGTATGATCACGGGCGACGAAAAATGGATTGTCTACAACAATGTGAGCCGAAAAAGGAGTTGGAGTAAGCGAGATGAAGCACCGGAAAGGCAAACAAAGGCGGACATCCACCAAAAGAAGGTGATGCTGTTAATCTGGTGGGATTGGAAGGGACCAGTCTTCTATGAGCTGCTTCCACAGAATAAAACGATCAATTCCGATGTCTACTGTGAGCAGCTACAGAAATTAAGTGATGCCATCGCACAGAAACGTCCCGAGCTGATCAATCGTAAGGGTGTGGTGTTTCACCACGACAATGCGAGACCACACACAAGTTTGGTCACTCGGCAAAAATTATTGCAGCTTGGTTGGGATGTGTTGCCACATCCACCATATAGCCCAGACCTTGCGCCATCAGACTTCCATCTATTTCGCTCCTTGCAAAACTCCTTGAACGGTAAAACGTTTGCTTCTGAAGACCTCATCAAACAGCACCTTGACAAGTTTCTCGCAGAGAAAGATAGGAAGTTTTATGAACGCGGTATTATGAAATTGCCCGAGAGATGGCAAAAGGTCATTGAACAAAACGGCCAATATATTATTGATTAATGTTCATTACGTATATTAAATAAACGCACCTGAAAATCAAATGAAAAAAACGCAATAACTTTTTGAACAACCCAATAGAAGCATATAAGACAATTTCCAACATTTCTCAGATATATTCTTGCTTTTAAAAAGAGATCTCCCCATTTTATTTGTACTTATTATTCTCTTGTTAACATTATTGACAAAAAAATATATATGTACATTTATTAAATTTAAAAATTTAAAACTAAGATTTTAAGGAATAGTTTTAATTTAATCGATTTTAGAGTCTCTATACTATCTGATCTGAGAAGAGAGACGAATAAGAATTTTATTATTTATCTCCTTGTAATTTTGGCGAAATTTTGTATTTATTTCATTTTCCCGAACTGTTTCTTTTAATATGCTTATTGCTTATCGTCTGATTTTTCTTATCACAGTCTCGCGATTCAGACAATTCTTACAATACGTCGAATAAGCCCTAATTTCGCAAAAATTTATTAAGAACAGAGGAAAAAAAGATTTTTTTCAACAGCATAACTTTATCAGATCTTTTGTATTCCATATGAATCCTTGGTATTCGTTATCCATTAGATATATATGTATAGAATAAATCCTATAATTTCGATAAAGAACGTTAAACGCACAATTAACTGGGACGTGATATCGAATCGATATATGATTCGTAAGATCTTCTCGTTATGTTGCTTTGTTCTGGAAATCCCTGGAAAGGAAAGTGACTCACTGTTCTTAAGATACATCTCTGAAGTATTGTTCTTGAAATATCTCCGAGTTTAATCATTGATAAGGAAATTAATATAAAGGTGACTTTCTAGCACATCGAAAGATGACTATTACAGTAACTTTATCTCATCTTATATTAATAACAAAATTTATTAGAGATATATTGTTAAAAACAATTTCACTTTGTCTATAATTTTTGATAGAACCGTGCCTTTTTTTAAAATATAATTTAAATTGTTTAAAAATTCCGCTACTGCGATTAAAGAATTTATAATCTGAAAAGTTAAAATTTTGAAATTTATTTCTGCTTCAAATTTAAATGAAATATCTCTTTAAAAATAATTAAAAATAAATTAAAAATAAAATTTCTAAATTAATGGTTTAAATACAATTTTTGTTACTTTTTCGTCTTATTACATCCTGTTACATTATACAATAAAATTACAGGATTTATGGAAATGCTTAAATGTATTAATTTTTCAAAAAAAAAAACCCCGAAAAATATATGAAAAACTCAGGAGAGAATAATTCTATCTGGTGATAATCTTTCAAAAATCTGACCATCTTCGAGCAATTCGAAAGCGATTAAAAATTCGCCTCTGCACGGCAACTTTTACATCAGCCAAATCGTTTTAAGCGGTTTCGGGGCCTAATCGACCTCTCTCAAGATACTAACTGCGTTCTCCAAAAGCGTGTAAATAGAATAGACGGCCGAGTGCGGTTTAAAGTGTCGGGCGAGAACGTTGATAAATGTTATTGTCCCGGCTTCACTTGCGGTTCGGGATATCTGCTTCCGGAATACTCGGTCAGATTTATGTCCTGTCCTATATCTGTGTGTTGTGTATCGCGCTGACATAGTTTTTTATACACTCAATGAAGCCTTCGGGGACAGACACATCAGCAAGATCCGGTGTGTGTGTGTCGGCTCCTGTTTATCCGCGGTTTTAAGGATTTTAAGGACAACGCGCATCGCGATGCGTACATGATATATAATATATTCTACATTACCGTTATAACGAGGTTTGAATCATGCCATAATGATTGTATGAGGAATTGAACGTTTTTCTGTAATTTTGTTGAAAAAAAATTGTATACCGACTATAGAGACTCTTATAAACACGTTATAAATCTTTGAGTTGGATGATCTGGATAATTATTCTGATGATCGTAGATAATAACAGAAACTCACGAACTACATATATTACATTATAGCTATGTTTTTTTTCTCAAGATCTTAATTTGTGTAAATCGATGCAATCTGAGCATTCTTTTTTTAGAAAAATAAATATAGCAAAATAGAGACAGAGAGAAGAAGAGAGAGAGAGAGAGAGATAATTATTATAAAGCTGCAGCAGTCGATTAAAACCGCAATGAACATTTAGAGATAATTACAGTCTATAAAATAATAATTGAAATGTTCTCTCTCTTCTGTGTTAAAGCTTTAATTTCCGTTGCTCTCTCGTTATATCCTAAGTCTTGGTTTTCCTGTTTCGTCAGCAGATTGTGGTCCAGAATGATCGAGCTCGCTCTACGGGTTTTTCCGGTCTTCCTGAGATTGGTCTTTATTTGCGAAATGATTTAGTAAGGAAAGTAAGAAATAGAGAGTTAGATTTCATTGCGAAGTGCGATTTGCATTAAAACACACATTTCATTTTTCCATCCGCGACTAACATTAATCAAAACAAATAACAGATGAAGGATTTATTTTTTCGTATCTTATTTATATTTTGTTCTATTGAAAAAAAAAAATGTTTTTCATGTTACAGCGGTTGAATCTGAAAATGGAACCGATCAAGAGCAGGAAAACGAAACACAAATCGATGCTGTATCACCATCATCAAGCGTAAGTATAATTAACAGCTAATCACACTAGCTTTGAAAATAAAAATACGAAATTTGTAAAATTAGAAGATTATATTAAAAGGTTTAATAACATTGATCCTACAAAAAAAAAAGAACACTAATTGTAAGATAATTAGAAATTCTGGCAATCTTAATTATATAAAGAGCGACGTGAAGGAAAAAAATATATGAAAAAAATAAAAACATATTCAATATATATATTTTAACGACGAAATGATATTTCTATCGAGAGATGTGCGTGACTTAACATCGGGTACTTTTTTCCGGAAATAGGTCGAGCTGTCGGAGAACGGCGCGCATCCGTGTCCGATGTGCCCGTCGGTGTTCACCAGCTCTCACGAACTGACGAATCATCTGCGCGGCCATAATTCACCTCGCAGCACGGACTGCAGCGGCGAGGAGGACTACAGCTGCGGAGTCTGCAGCAAGGTGCTCAGCTCGGCCAGCTCTCTGGACCGACACGTGCTGGTGCACTCCGGCGAGCGACCCTTCAAGTGCAAGTACTGCGAGATGTCGTTCACGACGAACGGCAATATGAACCGGCACGTGAGGTGCACCCATCGGATGGCGTCGCCGAACAGTTGCACCGACTCCGAGGGTAGCAGCGGCTCGGAGAGACCAGCCACGACGAATCCGGGCGAGTACAACAACAACGAGTTGGCCAGGCGTGGCTCGCCGAGTCTCATCGACGAGCGACAGCAGGCGTCGTCTCCAGGGAGTCATCGCGCGAGCAAGCGTAAATTGCAGGAGGAAGAGGACGCCGGTGATACGGAGGAGCAGAAGAGGCACAAGACCCTCATGAACAACGGCACCATGATGATCAGGGTCCAACGGAATGGCGGGGAGATGACGTTCGAGTGTCTCATCTGCGGCAAGGATTTCGTGACGGAAGCGATGCTGGATGCTCACGTGGAACGCGCGCATCCCAAGTCCCTGGCCACCTGCGAGATCTGCAACACGTCCTTCAAGAGTCACCGGCAATTGAATCATCATCGTTTCACGAGTCATTGCAAGAAGAACGCGGGCGGCAGCAACAGCCGTCGCAGCATCGTGGACGGTTTCAACGATCTCACTCACCTGGAATTTTCCTCGCCGAACTTCCCGATGATCGCCCGAAGGGTGTGCGAGCAAGAGCTGCACCTCGCTTCCGGCGAGGTCCAGTTCCAGTGCATGAAGTGCCTGCACGCGTTCCCGTGCAAGCAGGCGCAACTCGATCACGAGAAGGAGTGCAAGGGTTCCTGCAAGAGTAAGAGAAACAGCAACGATAGCAACAATAATAATGACAACAATACCAACAACAATCTGGAAATGGAACTGGACGCTCCGTCTCCGCTGCCCGACGATCCCAAAACGACCCGCGAGATCTTTTTCGCCGTGCTGGATCTGCAGAACAAATCATCTTTGGCCCGAGGCGAAGCGAAGGAACCCAGAGAACTGAAGGAGATCAAAGAACCGAAGGAGATGAAGGATCTTGCGGATATCCCGAGTATTCTGTCTGTCAGTTTGAACGGATTGCCGACGTTCCCGCGATCGGACACCAGCACACCCGAAAACAACATCAAGTTTAACCCGAATATCGGCTCTTCAGGTTCTTCAGGCACCTGCTCGTCCGAGTTTAATGAAGAAGAGGCGCAGGATGCCTTCACCGCGGAATTCCGGAAGATGAAGCTCAAGGGTGAGTTTCCTTGCCGACTTTGCACGTCCGTGTTCCCCAATTTGCGAGCACTCAAGGGACACAATCGCGCGCATATGAACGTGGAACCTGGAATGCCATATCCGTGCAATATGTGTCCCTTCACCAGCACCGACAAGGGGGCCTTGTTGAAGCATCTGAGATCTCATAACGGTGATCGACCTTTCGAATGCTCCCTCTGCAATTATGCGTTTACCACCAAGGCCAATTGCGAAAGGCATGTGAAGAACCGTCATGGAATGATCAGCAAAGAGGATGTTAAGAATGCGCTGATCTATCATCCAAGCGAAGATTCGACGAATGAGAACGTCGAGAGAAGCTCGCCCAGAGGTATCAGAGACGACGTGAGAAAGTCGCTCGTCTATCCGAACGAGCGCGAGGAAATCTCTCAGCAGATACATTATCCTCCTGTATCGATGGACTGTAACCCGGGACCTTCGAACGTTTGCGCTGAGATGCTGATGAATCGCTATGAGAAGTCAGACATGTTTCACAGACCAACAAAGGCTCTGAATCTCGTGAAAAGAAACGGCGAGGAATTGAACGTATCTCAGGATCTGATCATCAAGTCTAATTATTCCAAGATCGATGAGGACGCCGAATCAAGATCATCGGATGGCAGCGTGTCTCTAGTCAGCGATACCAAAACAGATACACACCAAAGAATTCAAGCTAGTCCGATGAATCTGACCAAGTCTACGACAAGCTCCGTGTTGAGTTCGGGGGAGGACGCTCCGTTGGATCTGTCTATGGACGTTGTTCTGGATCTGAGCAGGAAACAGAAGAAGGAGAACGAGAATTCTCAGGAGGAGAAACATTTTAAGAATCAACAGGAACTGTATGCTGCGAGTCCGGCGTTGCTGTTGACTCAAGCCCTGCTGAACACAGCACGCGAGAATCCGCCGTCGCTGGAGAACTTGTACGCGAGTACTCTCTATCGCAATCTCGCCGGTGCCTCCATGATACCGCCGTATTTCCTCAATCCTCACATGTTCAGCCAGGAATTGGCCGAGAAGGGCAGACTCCAGAAGGAGCTGGTCAGGGGTTTGCAGTTGACCGGCGGCAGCACTCTTCCGGTGGATCCGTCGCTGCCCAGCACCAGTTATGCCGCATTCGCGCAAGCTCGAGACACCCCGCCAACCTCGAGCGAACACAACACCTACGCGAGCTTGATGAACGCCCAGATAGCCAGCCAGGCCGCGTCGAGTCGCGAGAAAACGGACAACATTTCGTCGAACGATCCCGTGAAGATGGTCTTGAAAAATGGCGTGCTGATCCCCAAGCAGAAGCAACGTAGATACCGCACCGAGAGACCATTCGGTTGCGAGCACTGCACGGCCAGATTTACTCTGCGAAGCAATATGGAACGTCACATCAAGCAACAGCATCCTCAGTATTGGAGCCAAAGACCTCGCGGTGGACACTCGACCCGAGGCAGACCACCCGCGAATCATTCGACTATAATGCAAAATCCTGGACCGTCGACCTCGCAAATAACTCAATCGTATCCGAATATCCTCCCAAACGTTGATTCATCAATGGTTACATCGGCGGACTATAATACGCATCCTATCTCAGATCAAGTAAAGTATGCCATTCTAGCACAACAATTAAAAGCCGATAAAATGGATGACAATGATTCAGATGACGAAATGGTGATAGATGAGGAGTCAGGCGACAGGGATGGTCAGGAGCCGCAAGCTCAGCATGAGCTTAGGACGAGCTTGCTTAGAGATCAGTTAGAGAGCAACGAGAGCAACGTTAAAGACGTCGTCGTGAAGAAGGAAGTGATCGAGCCTGCGGAAGATGATACCTCGGAAGAATCTCATGATGAACAGACTGCGCAAAACGGTGTAGACAGGACCAGCGCAGAAGAATCTACCGCTGCTGAAAATAAGTCAACACGTACCGAAGATATGAAGATCAAGATGGAACCCACCGGGAAAGAGCAGCAGAGCAAACTCGAGGATGGAGCAGCCGATCTCGCGAGTGTCTCGAAACTCTTGGACAACGCTTCTCAGCAGTATCAGCAATTTCAACCGCAATACCTGAGCGACGAGGAAGGCCCCGTGGCCTCGACCAGCGGCAACAACTCCGGCAGCGAAAAGTCCGACTCCAATTCTTTAAACTCCGGAAATGATTCTTCGTCGAATAAGAAAAAGAAGAAGAAGAAGAAATCCGCGTATTCGATGGCACCGAATCGAGTCCCGTGCCCTTTTTGCCCACGCCAATTTCCCTGGAGCTCGTCGCTGAGACGGCACATTCTAACTCACACCGGTCAGAAGCCGTTTCAGTGCATGCACTGCTCCCATCACTTCACCACAAAGTCCAACTGCGACCGCCACTTGTTGAGAAAACACAAGGCGAAGGCTAATAAGATGCGTCGTGCCAGAAACTCTTCCTCGCCGGACGTTCAGGTGGTTGCCAGCAGCAGCAGTAGTAGCAGCAATAACACCTTTTCCATGAGAAACGTGCCCGAGAGACCGTACAAATGCAATCAGTGTCCGAGCTCGACCTTTTCTACGTTAGGCAATCTCAAGAAGCACCGATCGACCAAGCATCGCAAAGCTATGTCCCGGTCGGAGTCTAGCGATCAACAAAACAGTCCACCGCAATGCTCCAACACGCAGAACGATCAGAGTGACTACGAGAGCCGATCCTCGAGCGCGTCCGAGAACATGGAGAATTCTGCTGGTGCAACCGCAAAGGCGAATTCTAACATGACATCGTCCATGAACGAGACCGCCAGATCGCGCAAGTCACCCAGATCCTCGCCTGGTCCCAGCGATGTTCCCTTCAAATGTTACTTGTGCGACAGCGGCTTTTCCGAGCGTCAGGATAATCTGGATCACATCAAAATGCATCACAAGCGCTCGTATGATATGTTGAAGGCCAAGGGCGCCCTCGATATGGCGACTATGAATATTGATGCGAGCGAAGATCAGATGGCACATCAGCATCTTAGTGATGGCGAAGAGAAAAGAGGTCGCTTTCCTGACTACAGCAATAGAAAGGTAATAAGAAATTATTTCTTCAATATTTAATTATTCGGAAAAGATATTTACAATTGAAAAATCATTTACCTGCCTTACCCTAGTTTAAATTAATTTGTATCGTCCGAAAGAATGACATTCAAGTGGACACATTGGTTGAACACAGGACTCTCTGCTCAATTGTATTGATTACACCTTGGACACAGATTGATACGAGTGTGCTTAATCGTATTGTGTCCCCTAAATGAATCTCTCTCTTTTTCTCTTCTTCTGAAAGATTTGCAAGATCTGATGATCTCGTTCATCGAAGAGTCCGCAAAGTTGTGATACGTGCATTAATTGATGATTGTTCAAAAACCAAACTGATCAATTCCACTTTTTAAAAAATTTTTTAACTTTAGTACCAGAGCACTAATCGGAAATTGAGAAAAAACGTAAGCCTGATCAGTGGTTTCTGAGAAACTCAATTAATGCTTGATTTTTCCAGGTCGTGTGTGCCTTCTGCATGAGACGATTTTGGTCCGCGGAAGATCTCCGGCGTCACATGAGGACCCACACGGGCGAGAGGCCCTTCGAATGCGACATTTGCACCAGGAAGTTCACGCTGAAGCACAGCATGTTGCGCCACCGTAAGAAGCACGAGTCCGTGGATTCCGCCATGTACATAGGCAACAGCGGTGACGAGGACAATCCGCCCTCGCAGCCGCCGACGATAACACCTAAGAGTCAGCAGCATTCCCCGATCTCTACGAACACCAGCCGGCCCCGTACTCAGGATAGAATCTCTTTGCCGACCGTAGCGGCGGTCGCTACAGCGGACGCGGCACCCTGCGCTCTTATGCGGTACAATCACTATGACAACATGGCTACTACTCTTACCGGCAGAATGGCAAATGACGGCTCGCAGAGCACCGGATCTGCTTCTATACTTTCTCCGCCACCTCCTGCGGAGATACCCAGCGAGAGCGGCGATAACGACTTGATTTCCAATCTATTAGGAATACGCGAGAAAGGTTTGCTCGACAAGGTTCTTCTGAGCTCGGCGGACGACGCGGCCAAGTTGTTGGGTGTCAAACATAGCGAGTGATAGACACGTTGAGCGTAATGTGGAAGAAATGCGATCGGACACACGAGTGTTTTGCTGTAAAATGGAGAAAATTATCTCTGCAGCGCAATTTTTTTTCAAATTTATTTCAAATAAATAAGAACTTAAACAAGTATAAAATATACCCCCCGCGTTTGAAAGATACAATATAAATGATGAAAAAGGATATATGAATTATAACTTCTCTTATTTCTACTTATTTAAGTTCTTATTGCGTATAAAATCAAAAATGAGAAGAAAATTTGATTGAAAACAGTTTTAAAATACTAAATGAAATACTACATTTATATATTTAAAATTTTAATTGTATATTTAATAGATAAAATTTGATATTTTACAAAATTTTATATATTAAGTAAAATATATTTGCCATCATTTTCACACACGTTTACTTTACTCTTAAAAATTACCTGTGCTGTATATTTTCTTCATTTTACAGTCGTGTTGCTTAATAGCCAAAAACGAAATGATTGAGACGAATATATTCATGGTTGCTCTCTTATATCAAAGGAACAACCCACGCTTCTGACAAAAGTTCCTTCGTAACGCCTCGAGTCTTCAGTTTCCTTATGAGAAGCGCGTCGTTTGTGTGTAACTCTCTCCGCATACCTTTATACATATATATGAATCATACATTTTGATCATATATATACCTATAAGATTTTTGTGATGTGATTGTACGATTATATATATATATATATATATATATATATATATATATATATATATATATATATATGTATATATCACATCATTCGCTGAATGTTATCGTGACTGCGAGCGCGAAAAGACCTGTCAAAAGTAATAATAATTAATTAGCAATGTTATTACTTTCAGTGTATGTACATTAGAAAATGTGCATTAGAAATTGACAGATAACACGTGTGTTTGTATTTCTTGTTCACGCAGTATTAGACAGTAGCTCGCGAGTTATGATCGCAAAATTTTCAACTTTCTCATTCCATGATAGTTATTTATGGCAGGATACTTATTAAAAAAAGAAAAAGACATCTCAATTTTTGTAAAATAAAGTAAACAAATATACTGCGACAATGAAAGACGAAACTGCATTTAAATCCAAAGAATTCATTGTTCACGCAATGAAAGTTAAGTTAGCGCCATATGCACTGTGTAATTTTATTTATTGTTAGTCATGTGTTTCTACAAATGAGTGAGAAATAATAGATTTAAGTGCAAATTTAATTGATATATAATAAACGTAAGCATTGTTTAATGTATTTCGCGAACGTTTGTCGACGAATATTAATTTCTAACTCGAACATTTCGCGAAAATGTTTCAGACTATCTTTTCAAAATACGAAAAAAAATCTAAAATAATTTTACATATATTGGTGATAAAGCTCGTTCGTGCAAGAATTGCAGAGTGCAGATATCTTGTATTTATATGTTGTCGATTTTTTCTTTTCCGAGTTAAAAACGAGCGAAAAATGCAATTTTCATATCTAAAAATGTGGAAATGCAAAGCAATATAGCAAAGTTTATCATTATATCATTTAAATTGAAATATCGTTGCGTGCGATTAACTTGAAGGATCTTAATGTATATAGATAGTTCGATCATCCATTCGTGGATACAATTATACCAAATTATTAACGTAGATAGGTAGATTATATTAGAGCGATCAAGATGAGTAGATGGCGGATTTAACTAGGCCAAAGGAAAGCGATTTGTATTTCCTATTCCTTCACCTCTTCTCTTCACCCACACCACAACTTTGTTACTTAGTTTATGTTTTTACATGATCTTATCCTCCTTCCTCTTTTTCCGTCTCTATTTACATCACATTTCCTTTCTGACAATCTCCTTTCCTCTTCCTTCATCATCATATTCTTAGATATATAGTTTTATAGTGAAGACGATTGTACACATGGCGATAATACAGTTTTAGCCAGATTCAAAATCGAGGTTGAGAATAATTATCTGTCAATATCTGTTCTTGATCTCGTCCTGCGGCGCATTTCTTCTCTTTACGATGTCTCTGTCGCAGGATGTTTGCAAGTTCGATCCTTGCATTAAAAAAAATCTAGCCTTTTTTAAAACGTTGCCTTTTTTGTAGAGTTTACGAAAAGTTAGATTTTTTTTTAGATATATGTATAAAAGGACTGAATTTGGAAATATCCTGCGATAAACACATCAACGCGCGCGCCAATATATTATTAATTAAGGCCTTTATTGATATGCTGTAGGCGAACGAAGGAAAGCTATATTTAACGAAGCGAACGAATCCATTTGAATCTTTTTCGAGTGACTTTCCTTGACTATTATGAAAGTTCTAAGGTATCAAGTAATCATTGTAGCGCACGTGTACATGGATAAGCTGTATTCTCTAATTTAAATCTAGAATAATAATAAACGGTATGCAATTAAACAACATGCATATTCATCATTTATTTTTATTCAAACTGTCACTTTTTTTAATTAAAAAATTAAATAATTCATGTCTTAAATAATCTCTAAATAAATTTTTTCTTGGCACGTAGTCTTGAAATAAATATTCTGTAACTAAATGTGTTATAAAGCTACTTATTAAATGTATAAAAATATATTGTAAGAAAAGCCTTTAACATTATATACATATATTAATTAGCTTCTGAATACAAGATATCATATCGGCAAGCATGAAAATAATATAACTCTAATGTAATATTAGTATAATATTTAATAGAGATTTATAATTCATGATATATTTATACTTAAATAACATTTTTTAGAAACTCAACTGAATAATTTATATTTTGTGTATCATTTTGCTCAATATCTTAATGTCGACATTAAAAATAATTATACAATGAATATAAGGAACTTTATTTTTATTTTATTACAATCTTTTTCGAAATAAAGAAGGTTTGAAATTAAGAATGTCTTAATCTTAAATACGTATAAGAAGACATTGTAAAAAAATTTCTCTTAAATGTAAAAATAAAACTGTATCATATATACGTACATAAAGAATACGAAGAGCGTTATAATTTTTATATAGGGCCCGTTTCTACCAACGTCGATTAAATTAAACCTCCGGTTAAACTATATCTTTGTCTCTTTTTAAGAACTTATTTCAAAAGAGACAAATATATAATTTAATCGAAGGTTTAATTTAATCGACGTTGGTAGAAACGGGCCTAGATAACGCAATTTTAGTTTGTTACCGTCAAATTCGCGAAAGAGAGTATAGGAGCAATAAAACATGTATCCGTTCTTTTTTCAGCCGACAGCATATCATCAAACTTCTTGAGATGTTCCGTCACGCAATTTTTGGTGAGATATGGCGCAGTGTTGTTCTCGAGAACGAGAAACCATTCGAATATGTTTTTGTACAGATCATTGTAAAAGAGCTGCGGATTGCAGAAAACTTTGCCCATATCCTCGACAATAAACTTCTCCAATTCAGGTTCGGAGGGTTGATCCACCATGAATACCAGCTTACTCAAGAAGTTCCATAAATGCGTTTCGTTGGATGAAATTCCTCGCAGACGGTCTAGTATCACCTTAAATTTCGCTTCATTTCGCAGCATGTCCAAATCGAAGCGATATCGTTTGCCCTTTCCTTCGAAACCGAAGATCTCGTCCTTGTCTAGAGGCACTAAGAATGAGATTGCATTGATGTCCCTGTTCGTGAAAACCATCAAGTCCACGATCTGGTCCGCCGTTATCATCTCAAAGTTGTCTAACATACTTATATAAGATTTAAACAAGTAGAGAAGACTGTACTGACGATACAATATGTTTGTGGACAGTAGATTGCTAATGGAGATCTTGAGACCTCCGGTTAAACACGACATGTGCTTGATTTGCACGAAACGATACAGACATTTTTGATTGGAAATTTGTCCGTCCTTGTCTACGTTATTATACTTCAAAACTAGATCGTGAAATCCCCAGGTCTTCAACACCTCCGTACCCAACCACCATTCATTCGCATCCTTCTTGGTCATCATCTTCCATGCGGTGCATATTAACATTTTTACTTGGTATGTAATACCTCGTACTATACCATTTTTAAAAAGGCAGCTTTGTATTCTATAGGTGTAAGACATAGGTTCTCGACTTCTGCAAAATTAATATTATTTGTATCAGTAAAATTAGAATGACAATCAGAAAGAATAATACATACAATTTTATAAAGATAAAAAAAAGATTTAAAAAAATTAAAATTCCATATAATTAATTTTAATTTTTTTTTTAATTTCAAAAAAATTCTATAAAATATGTTTCACTACTAAACTCTTATAAAATATTTAATAACATATATATATTATTCATTATTAAAAAAGAAAGATTTAATAAAATTTTATTTTAAAAAATACCAACATTTTACAAAAGTTTTTGCAATACTATTTAATTTATATTAAGTTAGAAGAGGAAGAAGAGTGATAAAAAAATGTAGAAAAAGGAGATTATAAAATTAATGAGAAAAAACAATTCATATCATTAAATATTTAATATCACAAATATTTATATAAAATTGCTCTTATTATATGTTTATGTATATATATTGTAAATAATATATATTGATAGCGCCGGCAAAAATCTAAATAGACTAAATAAATATACACATATATGTAATTATGAAAAACCGAATATAAAATCGAGCTATAAAAAGCATATGTAAAAGATATAAAAACTTAAAATAATTGATAAATGTAGATATAATAAATATCTTCATTACAAGGAGAATAATACAGAGGAAGTTTAAAGAGAATAAATTTCGCACAAAAGAAAAGAAATTCGAGCCAGTTGTAAAGTGATATACGATTCTTCGAGATTAGATTAAGCTGTATAAGCAGACATAGTATAATGCTATCGGCTGTTTGATTCATTCAGATGCTGCGCATGTGCACTAGGAAATTTCTATACATTATTTGTATATATTAAGTTCATCAATTATTTTTTATAAATTATATTTTTTACATATAATTTTTTATATTATATTAAATAGATATAAAACAAAGATGATTAAATTAATATATTTATTCTAATTTTTTATAAATAGATAGCTAAATATTACAGATTGTTAAATATAAACGATGTTTTTTTATCGAATTGATAAGAGTTGCGAAAGAAGTAACGTGACTCTATCCTATCGTATGATGTACTCTAATTTCCAAGTAATTTGATCAATTCGATTTTTAAAATTATTGCAGAGAATGCGAGCCATAATCTTGCATACAAAGTTATAAATAATATAATAATTGATATATAATATATAATTAAAATTAATAATCTCTAACTTTAAAAGTTACAATTTGAATGATATAAATACTTCATACATTAATAACACGTAAATTTATAAAAATGTATTACTTCTATGATATTAATTAAAATTTTTTATGAGCAATATATTATAAGAATTAAAAAACTGCACGTTATTAATTTAAAGATTAAAACACATTATTAAATTAAAGATTGAAACACATTAATTTAAAATAATTGTAATAAGCCGAACTTATATATCGGCAATGACGAAGTCAATTTACTTAATTAATAACACTCTTACAGAGAAAAATCAATGTGACATGAAAAATCGACCGCATATACAAAAGGCCCATCATATACTGGAAATATGAGGTGTACGATGCCTGGTTTGACGTACCAGCATTATTGTTAACATTGTTTGATGTTAGCCGACACTCCGTCAAATCCCGCAGTAAAAGAAATGTTGCCGCGCATATACGAGCATACCATATATCTCTATCTCGACAATTACATCATCCACGAAACAAAATATATTGTTCACACATTATTTGTATTAATGGAAGAAAATTATCTTACTAGATATATATACAAAAACTGATATAAAAAATGTTAATTTTTTTTCTGCGGAATTAACAGAACTGATATGAAAAAAAATGTTGATTTTTTTCTGCGGAATTAAGAGAATACGTCTAAATATAAATTTTGTTCTTATCGCATCGTAAAAGATTTATTTATTTGACATTTTTCCTTTCGACAAAAGGGATGCATTCGACGAAGCAAGTAAAAATTAAAACTTTTTTATGTTATAATATGCGAAGAAATTAATTAATTTTCGCACATAGTGCAAGAAAAAATTTACTATATTTATTACGACGTCACAAAGACCGTAATTTTACATTTAGCTACAAAAATGCACGTCTAAGCATGTCTAATATTTAATTAGATTTGATTTTTTATAGATAACGTGTCTTATCCATTCGATAAAAGATAAAAGAAAACCACTGAAATTATCGGTACATTAAAACCACTGATCTCGCACGATTTTGAATAAATATGACTAAATACAAAAATACAAACACGTACTTTTTATTAACATAAAAGAATTATGTTCCCTTTACATGTGCTCGTGAAACATTATTAAACTCCAACCTTTTGCGTCAGTACTGGCTTTGTTTTCCATGCTGGATCCTGCATCCACTTGATTATTTGTATTCATGTCCAAGCTCTTCTTCACTTTTATGAAAATCGAGTTATTTGGAACGAGAAATGCAAATTTAGCTAGAACAATTCCGGATCGAACACACCACACTCTTCTGCAGCGGGAAGCAAAATGACGCGCTTATACGTATGCAGTAGTATATATCTCTTCTCTTTCTTTCTCTCTCTCTCTCTTCTCTTTCTTTCCTGTATATTCTTCACCACTACTAAGGGAAAATTCCGAAGAGGACAATGGGATTCTAGGTCTTTTCAGCTTGGCTGTAACTGTATGGGGGCAATTTTTTGGTCACGTGATTTTTTACAATAGAAAGAAGATATAACACTTTACATTCAGACACGTTTCATTTCTTCCAAAACCCTGCTAGTCATAATAAGAACTAGAAAACTGAAACTGGAATAAAATGCAAAAACACAATGGCAATGTTTTATGTTTAAATGACGCGATTATTTCATTAATGTCTATATAATTATTTTTTGTATATAATATATCATACATATATTAATAAGTTATTTTGTAATGAGAGAGAGAAAGAGAGCGAATATTTAATTTTATTATCTATATATAATATAAAGAATAAAAAAATATATAAAAAATATATATAGAAATATATACATATATATTTATAGATATAATTTATATATTATTATATAATTATATGTTATATAATAATATATAAATTATATATAATTTAAGAAAAATATATATGTATATTTATAGATATATTTAAAAAAATTTTCTTTATTATATATATATTTTTTATTCTTATATATAATTATATGAATTAAAAATTAAAATCATTATTTATAGCAAATTAGGATTTTTGCAAAAAAAACGATCTGCATTTCCTTGGACAAAAACGGAAAAAGTATTGATAATGTTAGCAGTCGCGATATCTTGCAATTGTTATCGCGATATCGCAGTATTATTACGGTCAGTTTCAGTTACACCCATTGACTGCATCTAGACTGCACTACGAATGCAATGAAACGTCATTCCGTCTTTGTTTTACATTCCATGAGAATAAAGAGGGAACGATATTTCGAAACATTTGTAGCAGCCATTATCCTGTAATAAATTTTATGATTATACACGTACCAATTCATTCGAATCTAGAGATATTTTCAATTCAACACTAGGGAACTGTTAATTTTTATATAATGGTACGCGTAATATTCTGGTGTAATATAAATAATAGTTCCTTTTTTTATGTTACTAAAAATATAATTAAATAATTATTATTCATGTTTTTTTGAAAAATATATCAAATGTCTTATAATATAATTTTATCATTTTTACATAATTTTTTTCTTGTCGACTTGAAACAATTTTGTAAAAAAAATGATGCATTGGATTTTTATATTTTATGGACGAATTCTGGAAGAGAGAGAGAGAGAGAGAGAGAGAGAGAGAGAATATATAATTGGGAGATATTATGTACACATTACACGATCCTTTTCATAGATGTACTTTTTATTTCGAATATTATATCTGGCGAGTAATAATGATTACTTAAATAAAGTCATTACGATGAGAGTGAAGCAAACATCACTATGTACAATATAAATATTACATGATTCGCGCTATATTGCACTCTATCACTGAATGTATCCTATACGTTGCAGCTTATATTCATCTACACGCGAAAATCGTTTATTTAGCGTACTAACTGCGAGATATCGTTAAAACTTTTACTTTCAACATTCCCTTTCAACACTATATGGAAAAAGGCGCACTCTGTTCAAAATTCAACATCTGAATTTACCAGTTAATCTAACATCAGCTTGCAGCAATATAGTGCTATATTTTTTTTTAATTACCTTTTTTTTTAACTCACACAAACAGCGCGTTATACACAACTATTTCACGCGCATTTATAAATCGGTTTCGTGTACGTTGTCGATTTCTGTAAGGCGAACATATCCGAACATCAAGGACGATTAAACGCACACGAAGCCCGGAATAATATATGTCTGTGTGTATTTAAGCAAGCAGTATTTAGGGAAGTTATACGGAGCATCGCCAGCAGAAACGAAAAATTCATTGTGATCCAATCACTTATGTCGTTTTGTTAAAAGACCATTCTTATTTTAATAGCTTTATATTTTCTTTTAGTCACCTATAAAACGTTCAAAATGATTTTAATAAAGATATATATTGTTTATATAGTATAAATATTTTTTTTCATCGTCATCGTGATGAAAAAAATTACGATTAATAAAAATTAAAAAAAAAAAAAAACAAAAAACAAAAAACAAAAAAATAGGAAAAGAGAATATATATGTATATATATGAAGATTCCTAATCTTCACTCTAAACAATGTAAAAATCTATTTGAGACACACATACACATTATTTTTGATGATTAATGAGCATAAATTATTGGCTACTAAGCAGTTTATATTTGAATTATTTTTATTATTAACAATAGGCAACTACTTCAAATCTAGCTATTCTCTCTTTAAAAAAAAAGCTTATGGAAGTTTTTACTGGCGAAATGTTATAGGAAGATCTTTTTTATCCAATTATCTTATTAATAATCTATAGTGGAAAAAGTATCATATTATGCACGAGAAATCTGGAACACGTTGCTCGTCGAGAGATCTAACTAATTCACGTCGAATTTCTCGCCGTAATACAATATCTAATATGCATATGCGTAAATATATAGGCGAGTTGTAAAAAGCAGATGCAGCACAAACGCAACACTTTATAGATACTAAGAGTATATACAATTATTGGAATATTTTCGATTTACCATAAATGACATGTCCTGTAAACAAAATTATGAGCTTACATTAACTCGTTGCATATCTAATGTTAAATGAATGTTTTACGTTTACAATCTCAGAATATACTTCCAAAATTACACAAAATTAGATATTATTTTTAACATATAGATTTATTATTGCTTTCTGAATATTCTAGTTCTAATATCAACACGTAAAGATAACATTTCATGTGCAGCATGCTGCCGCAACAGTTTGTTGCTATTGGTGAAGTTGAACAAACAGCAAAGCAGAAGAATATGCAACTAGTTGATTCTATAATTATTATTATTATATTAGTTAAATAATGGATTTTTAAGAATAAAATAGATTATTATAAGAATATAAAAGCAAAAATCGTAATTTTAACTTTGAAATAATAAGAGAACAAAGAAATATGCTCTAATAAATTTTGATCACGTGACTGATTTGCTGCAGCATGCTGCATATGAAAAGACACTTTAAATGTGTAAAAAACAAAAGTAATGAAGATACAATTTTGTTTTATATATTGTTCTACATAGATTTTTTTTGTATATCCAAATAAGAAAACTTAAAGAAATCGAGAAAGGAGAGAGAATACTATATTAAACACTAAATTTAACTTTAAATATGCAACAAATCTGTCTATTGACGGTCAGCAAACTTATTCCACTTTTGGATATTTCTCACATATAATAAATATGATTCGATATGCACTCATAAGTAACTGCAGCATACACTGAGAATAATCGAAACATTAGAATGGAAAATTATCCATTAAAACCATGCTTCATTAAAACTTGCTACACCGTTTGATTCATTTCCAGAACAGTGTTGTGCTCCGTTGGGTCTTCCATCGAATATCTATATGTTTCAACATCTTCTACGCTCTCTTCTGCCTTAACAGGATCTTTAACCACGAGATCATTCTCAGTATTACATACTACATTTGATGTAGTTATTTTATCTTCTGATTTGATTTCTTGCTTAACTGTAAACGCTTGCTTTCTGGCTTTAGTTTCAGTTTTAGTATCTGTTCTCTCTCTCTCGTACATAAATGTTTTCCGTTTCCTTCGCATCGGTTTGCATACCTTTTTGTACAGCATATTCATCTCTTTTATTCTGCTGGTTGGGATTGTCCAGTCCATTTCTTTAGCTGTTGAATCTGAATTTCGTGTTAGATCCATACTGCTTTCGTGTTCCGGAATTTCCAATCCCAATTTTTTCATGACTGCGACCATTATTTCATCGACATTGCCGTTAATAATTAAATCAGCCTTCTTATCCTGTAATCAAAATTATTTCAATTGTACTTTAACAAAATCACGTCAAACATACATATTTTTACAAGTTTAATGTTATATAATAATCTTACATGTTTTGTTGGCTGCAAATTGCATATAACGAGACGACCTCCATATTTTTTTGTATATAAAGGCAAATTACCACTTGGAATAATTTGTAACGTTGTTCCCAAGCATATACTTAGATCAGCAACGCTAAAAGAATGCAAGCATTTAAATATTTGATATTAAGATAATATACAATACTAGAGATAAATATTAGTCAAAATTTTTGTTGCTGAACCTGAGATATTCCATAAAAGCTATATTAAAATTATGTTATTTACAACTTTTAATATAATTTTTTTACATTATTTTTAATATATTAATTATAATAATAATTTGCATGTGTATAATTTCAAATATTAGCACGTTTCAACTATTTGTTAAATGTTAATACAGAGTTTTATCATTTACCTGGAATGTAAGTCGGATAATGTCAAATCACTGTCTGGTAAATTATGCTCCCAATCGAGAATAGTATCATGCATTCGACCACGACATGGACGACCGCCTATCTGTTCCGATCTGCATACAGTATCCAAAGACTTTTTTCCCACACTTTTGGTTGCAAAATTCCGAATAAATTGCCTATAAAGTCATTTAAATTTTCAGTATTTTCATTATAATAGAACCTTTATATATTTTATTATTTTAATTACAATACGTCCTTTTAATTTTTTTATATTTAGTTTATATATCCTTTTTTAATGATACGTTTATATACAGACCTGCCACATTTATCACATTGTTCTGTAAACATATTTCCATGTAGTTCTGCTAGATATTGCCTTGGTATTCCTGATCGTAGATGTAATCCATCTATATTCTGGCTTATGATAAATTTGATTTTTTCTAAACAAAAAGAAAAAATCTTGTAATAAACAGATATCAAATAAAAAAAGAGAATTTTTGAAACTTTTAAAATAATAAAACTATTAAAGTTCTTTTTACAGTTTTTTTTTCATTCACCAACACTTACTAGCCTCTATCAATTTTTTCAATGCCATATGTGTCTTTGTAGGAATTGCGTCATCAAAGGAAATGTTCATCGAAGGTTTTAATCCTTTTTGTTCCAATGTCCAAACACCATTTGTACCCCTAAGAGAGACAATATTGATCAAAATAAACAAAAATAATGTTTTATTTTAATTATTGAATTTTTTTTAATCTATTCACTGAAAAATAATTATAAGTTGATCTTTAAATTTCTCACATTTGTTTTTCTTTTGCGTTACGATGTAAGAGCTACATAATTATCTACAGAATTTAGAAAAACTGTAAGCATATGTAAGTACAATTTTAAAATGTTTCACAATAGTGAAGAGATTTTTTCTTCCTCAAAAAAATGTATCGTTACAACTCAACAGTTTAGCTTATTGTTACGTATTCACATCTCATACTTGGTGTTTTGCTTCAAGCTTCTTCATGTATCACACATTGTTACACGCAATGCCAAAATGCTATCTTCGAAGACTTGACACAAGTGAATTCAGAAGGGAAGGAGCGAGGAATAGGTGAAAGATTCATAATCTTGAGAAATCCGCAGATGATAGTCACCGAAAATCCGGGATACCCGCGGCGGTGCTGATGCCGGCTCCTGTGTGGATCACTACGTGACGAGCTCCTTGTATCCAGTCAGCCAGGAGGCCACATTTCAGCCGAAGAGTCTCGACGCTGTCGTATCTCTGGAAGTCGAGGAATCAGAGAGTAGAGATAAAACAAGAAATAAAAATAAAAACAAAAAAAAAAAAAAAAAATAAATAAATAAATAAATAAATATTAAATAAATAAATAATAAATAAATAAATTAAGTATCGCTCCCGCTCGATCGCGAAGATAAAAATCGTATCAGTCGTTCGATACGCGTCATATGATAAGATCGAAAGAATGAAGAGAAAGAAAGAAAGAAGAAAAAGATTTGATCCCGCCGAGAGTATTTTCTTTCTTCCTTTTTTCCTCCCTTACCTCCTCCAGACCCAATACTCCTTTGTTTTCGTATGGCGATAACCCGTCCGCGTAGCTGGATGACATTTTTGCGCGGCCGCTCGTCTGTGAGATCCCGTCAGGTAAATTCTAGACGACGCCTGGGGGACGCCACGAACGGATATCCGGGCCCGTCTTTTACGATCGTCCGTGAACAGTGAAAACGGACGCGATTTCAGCCTTGCTCCGGCCGCGCTCCCATGTGTCAGAACGGATACGTAAACACAATATGAATCGAGTTAATGACCGCGTGCTGTTATGTTTATACGCTACGAATGACGATAAGTGATAGGAAACTCGAGACCCGCGGGGAACGCATTCTGTTTTATAGACTGCACTGCATGCAACGAAATGGCACTTGAACAGAAAGAAGATAATAAACCGCCCGGGGCATGCGCCCTGCGCTTCGCGCCTCCCGCAGGAGCGGCGGCTCCGGGGACGCCATGGACGCTCGACTTGGCCCGAGTTCCTCTCGCGTGCATTCAATTCATGCACGAACCGAGGCTGCCGCGTCACGCGTTTGGCGCCAATTTCAAAATGTCAAACTCGCTCACCTGTCAAACTCGCTTACCTGTCAAACTCGCTCACCTGTCAAACTCGCTCACCTGTCAAACTCGCTCACCTGTCAAACTCGCCCACTTGTCAAACTCGCTCATCTGTCAAACTCGCCGACGTGTCAATCGTTTGTTTTTCTTTTCTTTTTTAATTAATATTGACAGTTATTATATTTTTTTTAAGTATAATTTATTTGTTTCTTTTTTCATGAAAGAAGGGAGGAACAAGGTGTTTAATGTAATAAAAAATTTTTTTTACAAAAATATCGAGTTTGGGAAAGATCGAGCGACACTTATCGGAGGAGCAGTTTGTATCGATAGTAAAAAATTAAGATTGCTAGAAGGTTCCAGAAAACGTCGATGTACTTTGGTGGCGTTCTGACGTTTCGCGTCCATCGCACTTTCTCGCAAGATTTTGTCTCTCTCGCTCCTCACCTCTCCTCGTCGTCTATCTATATATATCGAGGGAGGATTTCGCATTTCGCGCATGCCGCGCGTGACGTCTACTCTACTACGGTCGCGTCAACTCGAGTGACAGGGTCGCCGCGAGCAAGGAGGACCGCGCGCCGAAGAAGGAAGATGAAGGGCGTCAAGAAAAAGAAGAAAACGCACTTCTGAGTATGTATATATTAATCCAGCTATTCATAACGACGATCTTTCAGGACAAAATTTTTTTCTTCCTTTTTTTCCCCGGTCATTCACGCGAATTCCTTTTACGCACACACATTCACACACGTGGTGTGCGAGCTATGACAGGTGCCGCGTGGTTTTTTTTTCCCTCGCGTTCGTCGATGTGCGTGCGCGATCAGATGATTCCGCAAGAAAATACTCTCTCTTCTCTCTCTCTCTCTCTCTCTCTCTCTCTCTCTTTTTCTCTCTCTCTCTCTCTCTCTCTCTCTCCCCTCCTTATTCGTCCCTCTCTCGCACTCGCTTTCTCTCCCACTCTCCCTCTGTCGCGCGTTCTCGGCTCCGGACTCACACCCTCTCTGGTATATAACCTCAAACCGTCACCGAGCTCGTGTCGCGTCGCTCGACGAAGAGTCGGTGTGTTTTCCGCGGCTAAACCGGGCTTCTCCGAATGTGCGTGGCGCGGTTTCTACTGTCGCAGCGGGTGTCGGCGAGCTCTCGGAGTTTCTCACCACATGCGACTTGTAAGTACCCTATATGCACAGTCGGCTTCTCTGTAACATCTCTAGCCACATAACGGTGTAACGCGGTCACCACACCGCGTCCGCGATTTTTTTTTCCCCCGTCTGCCAGCCGTGTCCTTGGAATGCCGGAATCCGCGCGAAAATCGCCGGGATCCGTTCGCGTGGATTTATTTATTTCCGAGAGGGAAACGTACGAGAGGATACCCTCGCGCTTCCTCCTCTGTCATTTTTATGAATTTTTTTTTTTTTTTTGGAGAGGAATTCGGAGGATGCACCTCGGAGCGACATCTCCTTCGCGTGTATACCTTTTTTGCTTTTAATGTATATTTAGACTCTGCATTTGCATGTATGGTATATGTGTGTAAGCATTCAAATCAAACTGAAATTCAGAGACGCTCCTGTTTCGAGAGATATAGGGGCGGAGATTCCCTTTTGAGCAAACACAAAACGGGTTTTGTATTTTGAGGACGAAAGCCGATCTGGGTGTTTCCGACACCAGAAATTTTTGACCAAAGCCGCTTTCTCATAAATTCTCGTTTGAATAAAAATGTTACTGCGTGTTACTTTAAAAGGATTCTATTTCTTTTATTATGTTTTGATCGAATAAAAAATTGAGGTCATTTCAATAAAACTTCGATTAACTTATCAATAAGATTTTATTAATATAAATATAGGATTATTACGTTTTCTTTTTAATTGACAGATTGGAAAAAAGATAAGATTAGGAAAGATTTTTTAGAAAATTTATATAAATACTATATATAAATATAATATATAAAAATATATATTTTTAATCTAAGTTTCGTAATATAAATAAATGTATACAATATATATATATATATATTTTTTTTTTAACTGCAAATTTTCCACATATACATATAATACTTGTGTACAGGTATATATAAAAAAGTTGTTAATTTGACTAAATCGTTCAACTAATTATTATTATTTTGTTAATTGAACATATATAAGTATTAAAATCCCACATATATAGATTTAATATGTTGTACTTAATTTAAATACTTATACATGTTCAATTAACAAAATAGTAATAAATTGAACGATTTTTTCTCAGTGCATAAAATATAAAAATTGAAAGACTTGCTTTTCAATATTCTCGAATCGATATACAAGGAATAATGACAACGAATAGATAAAACAATTAGAAGTCCACACGTTCGGTGCTAAACAGAGACAAGAATGAGGTACCTTGTGCGCTTAATAAGAAAATGCATAACTTGGCGCAACGTCATTTTCACGCCGGTTTTGACATAAAAAGCTGATATGCCAGTTACGCAAGGTCGCATACTACTTTGCGCAAAGTGCAAAGTTATTAAAGACGGTAGTTATTAGATAACTACGAGGATCAATAATATCGTACACGCTCGGCGTCCGGAATTTGATCGAACCAAGAATTGTACTCGAAACTGTCGGATACTCGCTCATCTCTCTCTAGCTACGGCACTGGTTCTGCCCTTTTCGCTCGGAGATGTCGTAACAAGCACAAATACAAGTTTATTTTATATATAGTGTCGTAGAGAGAGAGAGAAACGCACGCAAATGTTGTCCCGGGACATACATTTTAATGAATTCGGGTTTACGCGTCTTAGAAAAGGGATCTTGCGGAAAATAAGTTATACGTATATAAATATTCGGATATTTTATCATTATTTTGTGCGCATATTTTTTTAGGGGGATCGTTAAACCTGACACACATTTAATATTTTGTAAATATACTCTTTGTTATCCCCTCATCGTTCCTCAATTTTATTTCAATTTCAATAAGGCACGTGGTTTCTCAACTCGGCAATCGCGTGCCATGGTAAAATTCTTTCCCTCGAAGCTTGATCAGCTGATAATTATAAAGTGAAATTTTATTACACTAATATGAGCTTGAATTTTCTTGAAAATATTTCGCCATTAATAATATTTCATGAAGAATTTAAAAAAAATTGAAATTATACACGGAAAGAATTTTCTCTTAAAATTTATCCTAAAAGTCATGGTAATCATGCGGTATTGAAAGAATTTTATAAGAGTTTCTCTGATTAATATTTACCACAATGAAAATATTAATATGTACATGGTAAAAGTAACCTATTTTATATCTTATTGTAGTATGGATATTAATATTTTTATTGTGGTGAATATTAATCAGAGAAATTTTTATAAAATTCTTTCAATATTGTTTCGTAATTTTTATGATTTTCAAGGTAAAAATTGTAAGAGAAAATTCTCTCTGTGTATCGTGATAAAATCTGCAATTGCACAATATTGCTTCGATACGTTGAACGTTGCAATAAAAAATGGAATAAAATATGGGACAAACTATGGATCGCGTTCGTAAATAATCATAATTCCATGGAATGCGAAGAATTTCGAAACTCGCATTCTTAGACATAGTCAAGAGAGGTCACGCGTTTGATTATCTTTTCGTGTTTCAACTGACTCAAAGCTGACTCTTCTCAAAGGAAGAAGAATGCATTAGGTGGACTTTCGTAACGCACGACATGAAAACTTTAAACGTAATGAATAAATCATGCGATCATTACATAGACGATTGTTGTTCAGAACTGAATTCTTCTTTTTTTGCGATTGAAAGTTTCTTCAAAGATCGTCGTCCTACATGAAAATTTTATTTGATTTTTCTAAATAACCAATCCCTTTGAGGGATATTTTACTCCGTTTCGTCGTAAATGTGCTGAAAGCCCTTTTACATGTAACGCAAAATGAAATATTGACGGGAGTGTTCTCGCGTGATATTGAGGCTTTTGTTACAAAAGGCTGGTCGAAGAAATAAATCGTTTCAATTATTTTGATGCTGGTGGATAATAACTAATATTCGTCAGCGTTTCCATCAAAAGCTTGTTCATATAAAAAACCAAAAAAAAAGAGAAATTAAAATGAAACAATGAAAAAGTATTTTTCGATAATTATTAATACACTGAATAAAAATGACTAAATCAATACATATTTAGTTCAATACTGCCAAATAGAATTATTTATTTGAAACAAATAAATATTTATTTGTTTTAAAAAGAATTTTCTTATATCAAATAAATATTATTAGTTTCAAATAAATGATTCATTCGGCAGTATTGAAATAAATACTTATTATCGCATTAAATAAATTTTTTAGTGTATATTTTGTTAAATGAGAAATATTTTCATATGTACGCAAGAGCTTGTTTCTTTTTGGCACTCGTAACAATTCTCTTTCTCTCTAAATTGCGCAATTTTTAATTAGCTATATGTATTTTGAGCGATTTACGTCTTATTCTTATCCTATACGTTTCGAGGCCTTCTTTATTTATGGTACAGTCAAGGACGTATTTATATAGAAACTAATAAAATTTATCGTCCACAGGTCTTCAATTGTTCGCGAAAGAACCCGCGACATTATTTCAACTAGAAATCATTCCGACGTTTCTCGCGTAGAAAATAAAAAACGACGCTTATATATTTCTTCCAATGTCTCTTTTGACGAAGAGTTACATTACCGTTCCAACTTTTTCCTTTCGATCGTATATTTTATTCGACGCTCCGTCAAAATAAATAATGCATCTCCGGAGAGATAAACAAAATTCATTCGGATGGATCGCTCGTTTTTTGCACCGGAGGAAAAATATTGTTTCTTTCGTAACCGACTTAGGTAACGCAAGATATACCTTTACGGACATTTCTCCCACACAGCCGCCCCTGACAGGCGCCGAACTGGTGCCACGTTGCTTGGCGACGCGTGTTGGACCTAAGAGATGAAGGGTGTGCGTCATCACCCAGTTTCAGATGTTTGGAGTGTGGCACCCAAACTCACCGTGATCGGCTTTTTTTGGTCCCTCGGGTTGGAATAATCCCGTGACAATTCTTCCTGACCCAATAACAGGCTCGGCAAACCTAAGTGCGCGTGTTAAAGGGCGAATTTAATCATACGTGGATCCCGCCTTTATACGCACGTAAAATGATCCTCTTCTGTCTATTTCTTCGTGGATTCTTTACTCAGGCCTAAGAAATATAGAGGTAAATTAATTTACAATGTATAATATATTTGCCGTTTGTAGTGCACGTTATTTGCAATGTACATTGCAATGTGCATTGCAAATAATATGTACGAATGCAAATGCAAAGTAATAATATAGAAAATAAATTGAAACGAAAGTTTCTTTGAGTTTTAGAGTCGCTCATTTGTCGTTTGTATTGTGACATTTTTTTTAACCTTCAATATTTTGTTTTTTTTGCATAGAAAGAATTTTTTCTTAGAATTTATTCTGAAAGAATCATATGGTAATCGTGGACCAATATTGGAAAAAATTTATTATAAGAGTTCCTTTTATGGAGGATTAATATTTTTATTACAAAAATATTACTATCTGTCATAATAAGATATAAAATAGGTTCGATTAATTTTACTATGTACATAATTAATTTTTTCTCATATTTTTAAAAGCGATAAAAATGATTATTTATTTCAATCTCTTTAGCGACATATAATCAGAGAAAATAACACAAAATCACACAAGAAAAATATACTTTTCATTTAAAAAATTATTTGTTAAAGTATTTTGAATATAAATATAATTTTTAGTCAATTAATCTGTTCTTTCGAGATTAATGAATTAGTGAAAATTAAGGATTAATGTACAATTAAGGATTCACGAAAGAAAGTAATTTCGAGAAAGCATTTTTATTATTCTTACGAATTAATGATCCTCCCCTGGAGGGCTTTTTTTTGCGGAGTATCGTTTTTACATTATTAATACGTAACATTTCATAGTAGTTTCTGAATTCGATTTTCAAGTGTTAATATTGGTCTAACATGTGTCAGTGCATGATGAACTCCCCGGATCGATAATGTCAACCTCGGGGAACCCGATGATTCAAGGATCAAAGCAATCGACCCTTGTGTGCGCAGCATTCCGTTCGCTACGAGAGCAGCTGTATTACTATAAAACCCTTTGGTGATTTTGACACTACACACTCGATCCCCAATTAAATTTTAGATCCGCGAAAATTGCTACCTTTGATTACGACACGTTCGTACAATTGCAGCGATGACTGGGCGCGAAAATTAACACTTGTGTTTCCCTCCGATTCGCGGTTGTGAAACGTTCGAATTACGTACGAACGTGAAGAAATCTCCTTTTTCTGTGTAATATTGAATAACAAACTGACTGTAATCCGAATAATGGCATTTTCGAATTACTTAGGGAGATTGTTCAATTATTCGCTGATTATTTATCAATAATGTCGAAGAGAAGAAATTATTTTGAAGTCACATTGTAATCACTATTAATCACGATGATTGTGATATTTCTCATAATTTAACGCTTTCGAATAATAAATATATTATATATTAACATCATTAGCAATGAAGGTCTTTGTGATAAAAAATGTTTCAAACAATTTGACGTATATATTAAGTATGATAAGATAAATCTGCATCGTAATTATCGCGTTCCCAATTTTTCTATCAATAAAAACAAAATTAATATACGATAATAAAAAAGAAAAATGAAGAAAACATCTTGACTAGACATTTTATACATTTTTTTAATATCTTGAAAATATATCATCAAATTTTTATATATTTCTCTATTTATATTTTGAAAAAAAAACAAAAAAAAACAGATCACAAATCTTACATCAAAAAGAAAAATAATTCTAAAAATGCGATCTAGCACGAGCGAGGAAATAATTACTTGAATATGATATCTCAATACAATCTTTGATATTGCAACCTGTATTCATTATACCTCATTCGTATACTTTCATCATTATACTTTCATTATATCTCGATTAAAAACGCACAAGGTTCTTCTTGTATGTAGCTAGGTTGAACCTTGTTTGACAAATATACGAACGCAGCGAGCAGTATTGACCGACGTTATCTACATATCTCGGGTGTTATTTTACATACGTTCCCCTCTTGATATTCCACTTTAAGCTCCGCGAGAGGACGGAGTGTTAAAGAAATACGGGGGCACTTTAGATTGGCATTCCGTCCCACATAATTCGTCGATTACGGCACGAACGACGCGTGCTCGCTAATCTGAAATCAATATAGCTCTATTAAGACTGATTTCGATCAATGAACGTAAATTAAATCGATTTTTCATGACGACATCCTCGCTAAAGTTATAGAAGTTGGTCTACTATTCACAACTAAGATTAAAGAACGAATTCATTACGTGCTGACCAACGGTCGCTATTTGTTCGTGAACTTCTCGTGACCTTGATATATGAAAAATATATAGCACAAGTTGGTCTTGCCCCTCCCTCTCTACCATCTTGCGTTCTTGGTAATTATAGTGGTAGCATAAAGCATGTTACGTCTTCTTACAACTCGCAGCTGCAGCTTATCGTCAAGCTATTATAAAAAAATAATTAAGAAATAATTATAATCTTCCAACTAATACTGTGTAATGTAATGTCTGTCGTTCTCATTAACTCTCCAAGTGTTATATGCATTTAGAGCTTCAGTTGCCGTCAAAAAGGGTCTTTTTCTCTGAAAAAATTAAGAAATCATTAGCGAGGTGATATAAAAATAGATATAGGCGTAATTTCTTTCGTTGAATAAAATATAGGTAAATAAAAAATGTGATATAAATTTTTCATTATGCAATATCTAACATTATATCGTGTATTATTCTTGTATTAAAATTTTATTAAAATTTTATATCACCGCAACGGTTTTTTATTATTTTATTCAATTTCATAATAAATGAAATTATGCATATCTATTTTTATATCGCCTCCTTAATCATTTAATTTAAAAAATAATTGAAAAAATTAATTAAAAAAATGTTTTTAATTAAAAAAATAAAAATTAATTAATTTAAAATTAATTAAAAAAATTATTTTATTTTATATATACATATTAAGAATATTATCGCGTTTTTTCTTTATTATATAAATATATATAAAATAAGGTGTGGCGCAATAATATTCTTTATTATTTTAAATTGCGGATTATAATGCTAGCTTGAATTATCTAGACTGAATATCGTCATTTCGCATAGTATTATCGGCTTAAAAAGATAATAATGTTTCTCTCTATATTTACATCTGGCAAATCGCAAGAGCTAACAGAAAATCCGTAACAGTGATTGTCGCGTATGTTTGCGCATAGAATTAGTAGTTCTGTCTAGTAAATGTATACACACTGTTATGTCGAGGATGTTGAAAAGAAATCTTTTATTGGTTCTATCTGAGATAGAACTATCTGTTATATTTATGAATATCCTGACAAGTGTTTGTTCATAGTTCTTCCTGAGTAAAATTGATTTTACAATTCAACTTCAAATCTTATTCTCCATTTAATCTGCGTGAAATTTAATTAGAAATTTCTCAATGAAATGTGATTAGAAATGTATTAGCTTTGTCGAACTGGGGTTCCTAAAAATTTTATACTTTTTTTATAAACAATACAGAGATTTGATGGATGTATTAGTGCATTTATATATTTTATACTTTGAAAAATTCAATTTTAAGCTTGTGTCGCTTCCATTATCAAGCAGCATTATCACGAAAATATTTATAGATATTATATAATATTAAATATCATAACTTTTTCTAAACATTTGAATTTTATTCGTCTCGCATAATTTAATATAATTTAGCGAAATATTTTACTAGGTATTCTTGAGTCTGAAAAATAATGAAAATATTTTATTATCACAGACAGTAAATATTTTCTCATCTAAATGGATTTACTTGTAAATAAAACAAAAAAATAAATGAAATTATTTGACGATCGTAAGTAGCTCTTGTTATGTTTCGATTTATAGCGACTTATCTTTATCGTTGAGCTATTATAATCTTTTATAAGTGTGTATTTCAAGTTGACGTTTCATATCGTTATCTGCCGTAATAAGTAGTATATAAATAGTGATTAGATGCAGATACTTATCTCATTATCTTTGCGTGCACAAGTGCCGGTTTTACGCATCCTACAATTCTACGTAATCATTAGCTCTTGATCGATGGCTCTTCCGGTATACAGCGATAAGGAAAACACCTGTCAAAGTATTATTTTTTTTATACCTAGATAGAATCGGACAGAAGATAGACTCACTTTCAGCGTAGGGTTTAATCTCGGTGTCGATAGCTTGTCGTATATATCATATCTAGCACACGCTGGTTGACCTCTTATTGATTCGTGTGGGAAGTTCTTGCAAACGACATCGTTTAATAACTTTCGACTTTACTTCGCTCGAGTTATATACGAGCGAGCGAGATTATTATTGTTTATAAAACTTTTAGAGAACTACCTTTCTCCTTGAACGCTGCGCTTCGAGAAATTAATGTACGCAAGATTTTTCCTCGTGCGCTACTTGTTGCAAAAAAAAAAATTACTTCTGAATTGATCCTATCTTTCTTCGCTGCCTGATATTTTTTATCGATTCGAATCATGAATGAAATGAAGAAAGAAAATGTTAATTCAGAAATCGTATGTGTATATTTATGGCACTTTAATTCGTAATCGGTATTTTTTATCGATATCTCGTGACATAATTCACTGTGCGATAATATATACTTACACACGAGTGGATCGAAACGTAATCTTTAATCTAGAATCAGTAAGCGTGCAATTGGGAAATTTGTGATAAATTTACCAAATAGTACATGTCCCAAACGGGTTATAACAATTTTAAATAATGACACGAATACTATATTATTTTAACACAAAAATTCAAAGTAATTTGAAATAAATTTTATGTAAATTTAACATAATTTTAATGTAAAAATTAACAAAAAATTTTAATTTTACATTTTATCATTCCTACTTATAGAATAAAATCAACATTTTTTTTTCTGTAAATAATATATAACATATTCATTATATAAAATTAAAAATAGATGCATATTGTGTTATTTTTACAGTTATTTTAATATAATTTAATATATTTGAGTTCAATTAACACAACAGCAGTATGTTAAATTTACACACGAATGTGTTAAATATTTAACAGAAAAATTGTCCAACTGTATAAGCGGATCGGTCGGTAGTTGAATAGTAATAAAGTCTTCCGGAATGCGCGAGGTGCGTAATAATCTGCGAATTCTGAGATAAGTAATGAAATAAATAATGAAGGAATATGCGTTTGCTTATTTTCCAGCAAGAATCCGACGTGTATGATGAAAGGGGCTCATTAGTATGCTGGATAAGCGACGGCTCCATGCCTCCGGTACGTCGCCATGCACCCTCATCTTCGTGGTCGTTCTGGCACTAACTGGATGCTTCTCGTTCTGGATTCACATCGATGGTTCAGGATCACCGATCCCTTACTCCAGCGGCGGTGTGGCCGCGCCAGGATATATCCTTATATTTCCCGGAAACGTCACACCCTCCGCGCAGCCCTACTCGATAAACGAACTTCCGTCCGATGATAAATCCACGTTGATCAACATCACGGACTTCAGATTCACCATGAACCACAATCCCTGCAATCGCACGCAACCGTTGCTGCTCATGTTAGTTCACTCGGCGCCGGGGAATTTTCCGAAGAGGCACGTCGTGCGGGAAACCTGGGGTCAACAAGCGCCGGACGTGACTTTATTGTTTCTCGTGGGATATTCGGAGGAGTATCAATCCAGACTCGAAGAGGAAAACAAGAAATATCAAGACTTAATACAGGGAAACTTTCTTGATGCCTATAGAAACATGACCTACAAGCACGTTATGGGATTAAAGTGGGCTACTTATTACTGTCCAAGTAAGATATTCAAGTTTTATATATCCTCGTCTCTTAATTACATATGAATGTAGCCCGGTTATATTTTTATTTCGTTTCTCGCACGTGTCACACTTATATTTTATATATCAGATATTTATTGATTTATCACAGATAGATTTGTGTATCGATTGTATCATAAGATAACTTAACGAGATAGGAGAAATAATATTAATCATCAATTTGAAAAAACATATAAATATCGTATTATATATATATATATATATATATATATATATATATATATATATTATATATAAATATGAAGTATGATAAAATAAATCATTCTAATATATACGATTGTTTCAGGTGCCAAATATATACTTAAATTAGACGACGACGTTTTTGTTCATTTACCGGCCATGCTGGACTTTCTAACGCGTGGCCTCTCGCCGTGGGGTGCAAGACGTCTGATTCTCTGTGATCTTCTGTCAGCTTCCGCAGTGAAGAGATCGTGGCGCTCAAAGTGGCGCGTCTCCCCTCAGGAGTATCCCGGTAGACTTTATCCCGCGTACTGTGCCGGATGGGCGATCTTATACTCGCCTGATAGTGTATTTATACTGTACCGCGAGGCCCAGAAGGAGCCGTACTTCTGGATCGATGACGTGCACATTACCGGGACACTGGCTAGGAAAGTAAATTTAACTCAAACCTCATTACACTCTTGGGTGCTTACGACCGAGAGCATGCGGGACCTGTTGTCGAACCCGAGTGCTCGACGAGATTTTCTGTTCGGGCCTCCGGATTTAACGGAGAGCGGAATACGAGCCTTACATAGTCTAGTTTCTAAACCACGGCCTAGCAGCAAAAGCCTATTGAATTAAACACATCTAAAATAGAACAATTTCGATTATATTTCGGGCGCGGTGTAACACGAAGAAAAAAGCTAGGTAAGAGAAAAAACATTGAATGTTCTTATATCTTTCGCGTATCTTAATTCTGTATACATATATTTGTACAATAGTCCGACGTAAGTGTTCGATTATTTGCACAAACGCCATACATAATGCATATGTAATAGTGCGTTGCATATATGTGCACATGTGTCTGTGTATGCATACACATACAGACGCAAAAAACATATGTGTAACAAAATATTACGAGGTAGTCTTATTTAATCAAGGATTGAAACCGGCATAATTTCATCGAATTCAATTCATGTACTAAGGTACAACGTTATAACTATTTGTCACATTCATTGTCACGAATAACATAGGGATCAAACTTTGCTAGTTCATGGAATTGGAGTTTAAATTTAGTTGAATGAAATACCGATTTCAATCCCTGTACTCAAATATTCATCTCGGAACAATACTCAGAAGTGAAGAAAATGTTTCAATCAAGTGTCTTACTTTTAAGAATTCGTTTTTTTCTCTTCAATTAATAGAGGCTCTTAATTTATAATCAGGGCTTGTAATTGAATATCGTGTCGCATCAAAACTGATTTTCGAAAACATCAATGTTTTCAATTTCATATATACTTTAGGTTTTTTATTTTGATTTATTTCTAATTTATTCAAGTTATTATCGCATGGGATAGATAACAGTATTTAATAATTTGCAGCACAATTGCAATTGATACCTGATTTTTATGTGTAGTTTGTCTTAATTCAGCCATCTTTGGCCACTATATGTAAAATATACGCACATATATATTTATAGATCTCTATGTTAAACGAGTGGGCGGAGGGGGGAAAGAATTGACAAGAATCTCATTATTCAGATTCTCTTTGACATTTTTGTCTAGAAAATTTGTTAAAATATACATGTATATAAAAAAAAAATGAGAATTCATTATTACTTAACATATCATTTATGAGCCCTGATTATTACATCGTATTGAATTAAGGTAAATCTGATATTATGAAAAATTATCTCATTTTTTGCGTTTCAAAGAATAAAATACACATTATCTATTTTTTTATTTGTATTTATAAAAATGCCAACACAATATGTGAGGAGAGTAATATTAATATATTTAAGAAATGTTACGTATCACGTGATGGAAGACATTCTCCTCTCGCAGTGATAGAAATTTGCGAGAGACGAGCGTGTTACACTTTATTGTAAATCTATTAATCGGCAACAAGAAACGGGGGGATGGGTCGTGTATGGAGTCACACTTGTGAATGTACTTAAATGTAATGTAATTAATACGAGCAAATTTAAGATATTATTACATTGTTACGCAAGAATATTAACAAATTAATATTGTTATGTAGCAACAAGTACAACCCCAAAACAAGGGTCCACTCGCAATTAGATACAGAGATCGCAGATATTTGTCTGTTTTTGAATGTCTTTAAATTTTTTATGTGTCAATTTAATCTGATTTTTCTTTATTTTCTTCTGATCATCCACGAATTGTATATTTCGTATTATTATGAAAAGTACGTGCCTGCAAATTATAACAATCTTAAAGAAACGTAATTTAGTCCTTTCAGTTTTACGTTCAGTGATTTCTCTAGGATATCGATGATCGATGTGACAACTCCGGTATTACTTCGCAAACGCATTGTAACTCTGTTTTGCTCTGAAAATACAACGAATGTGTCTACCGGAATAAAACATGCAGAATTCCACTCGCCAGCACGCTATGCTCGGAGCCGAATTTTTCTTGTGATATAGCAGAAAGAGGACTCGCGTCACCTCTCTCAAGTATTCGCAGTAAATTCCGAAACTAGGCAACATATTCGTATCTCACACTATAGGATAAAAAGATCAATGGTTATATTAGTTATTAAAGGATCTCACTCATTATAATTCCTCTCGACGTGGATATTCTCAGACATTTTTACCAATGTATCGAGTTTTTCCTTATATACTATTTTTATTTGTACATTGTGTTCGGAAAGAGGGAGTATCTCTATTGTGCGATAATGTGAAATCGCATTAGTATAATTCTTGTGATGGAATAAATACTTATAATTTCAATAAATAATGGATTATTTAAAATACACAGTGTATTCCTCATTTTCATTCGCATTCATTTTGTGTAACTTTTAATCAAATCATCTTTGCGTGTATGTGTATGATTTAATATACGAAGAAAAGTACACAAATAATTTCTGGCGCAGCAGTAAAGGTAGTATTTAAATAAAATTATATTGTATAAATTTAAACAGTTTATATTAAAAATTAAACGTTGCTGCGGTACATAAAAAAAAACTGCTATTTTAATTGTTGCAGATGTTAAAGTAGGGCAACAGAGAACGGAAATAATCGTAACACATACAATCGGATATATACTTTATTGGTCCAGCTGTTTAACTACGTAGAACTATTTATAAAACTTTACAAAATGTTCAACATGGGTTGCAATGGGGGAAACCTTGCTTAGGTATATTTACAAGGCAACAGAGTTACGCGATTTCTAAGAATCGATTGACGACAAGCATATAACATTATATAACATTAAATGTGATTATCGCAGAGATTCCTCCAACGTGTTTGGATTACGAATATTCCGAATTGAGAGATTTTCGTTACAAACGCAATTTCGTGATTGTGCAAATATCTTCAAGCTCGGATTTCGGTCTAACTAGAAAGACTCGTTACAAGTATATATTTAATATCGTTATTAAATAATTCGAGTGTGTTTAAAAGAATGTTGAATGCCGTACAATATATTGCGAGGCACGCGTTTAACCCTTTGTACATTTATATTTTACATAGATAATATGATATTAAATAATATTAATATATAATTAATATATATTAAAAAATTATAAAAAGATAAAATTTCTTAATAACTAAAGTGGGATAAATATCAAACAGATTACGATCAATTTTAATTATGGAAATTTAAAAAATATAAACAATTTAAATAACATATTACGCGTGTAAATCTAAAAAGATACCTAATTAAATCTGTGATTTCTTTTTTGATATCCGAATTATTATAATGATCTCATTAATTTTGATAATGATTGATTCTCTCAAATGTATATAAAGTGTATTTTTTTATAATATTAAATTTTTCAAATTTATCAATTCTTTCTTTTTAATTCTTTATATGTGCATATATTCCGTTACATAAAAATATATATTTACACATGTGAAGGTCGAAAAATTCGACTATCCTTGCGTGTATAAAATCTACTATCAATCAAGATAATGTACGTTTCGTTACCTGCAGCAGAAATAAAAACTAAAACTCACTAAAGAAATAACATTAATACAAAAATGAGAACCGCACACATAATCGCGAAGTTATATATGAAGAGTAAACGAATCCATAGTCTTCCATCAAGATTGTTTACAGTCCGAGATGAGCTATTTGTCTAATGTAAATTCGTTAACAATCCCGATTTTAATGATTGCGGAAAACTCTCCCTCTAAGTTGGGAGAGAATATTTCACTATTTATAAATGTCCCAACACGAAACATTAATTTCGTCGTCGGTGGATTCGTAAAATTACTTATGCAAATTCTTCATTTTGCGTGCGTTCAACCATTGAAAATCGATTATACTCGATCGATTATATCCTATAAAAATTGGCAGTATACAAACAATTCATCACATCAAAAGTCAATATGTATATATATATATATATATATATATATATATGTATATATATTAAAAAAGTTTTCATAACGAACGTTAAGATTGGTGACGTTTATACGTTTGATCCTTATATATGTTGATTCAAAGAAATTTCTTTTTAACGCGACTAAGAGAGCAACGTTATAAACTACAACCTTTACAATCTAACAAATTCGCTGTCTAATAATTGCATGTAATTTATGTAAAAACAGTGTTTTGCTTCAACGTAGTAGCATATATGTTTCGAAATTCTAACAAACTTTACAGAGCCATTTAAACAGCCTGTCCGAATTATAACGTCTTTATTTCGCATTACAATATTATTTTTAGATCGAACAAAAATTAAATATATACATACGTTTATGTATAATAATTTAATACAATTTTACGCAAATATATAAATTTATAGCTAATTTAATGTGAAATAATTTCGAGAAAAAATTCGAGTCTTTATTTAATTAGTAAATCGTGCTATAAAAAATGTTAAAAGTGATTTACTTGTATAATATAACTAACTTGTGAAAGAATCGCAATTTTTTGACGCGAATGTATAGGTGAGAAAAAAAACCCGCTAAAGGACATATATTGATCGACTTCCTTTCTCGAGCAAGCGATGTGAATTGAAAATTGTTCATTTGATCGAATCGAAGATTGTTCCACTTTTCATAGTTTGAATTAATTTTATGAAATTGCGTAGGAAATTCCGTAGTATAATATGTAGAATCTCTTAATAATACTAATAATAATAATAATAATAATCCGCTCAAACTTTATATATAAAATTCAACTGTCGTTGCCAGTAGATAGCGATGTTTCCGATATTACATCGTATCGGAAAACGTGACAAATTCAAACTACGGAGATCTAAATGTATCCTACCTACATTTATTACTTACTACTTTCTTATCTCGGCACAAACGCCGTTGCGATGCTTTCTACGTTTTATCGATTTTCATCAACTGTCGTAAGGAAAAACGATGGCGGTTCGCTTCGGTGGTGCGTAATGTTTTAGTCTCGACATAAGTGTAGGGTAGCAAAGTACAAGTATGGTGTGTCATATGTGAATAGAGGAATAATAATCGAATAACGAAGCGCGAGTGAGACATATATCGCTATATACGTCGTCCCTCGCTGCATTATTAGGTACCTAGAGCACTTAATATTCAGGTACTAATTACGTTATCTTGATTAATGCGATTCGAGATTATAATTAGTCTTAAAGGCTGATAGGAATAGAGCCGATACTTCGCGATAATACAATTACGCCTTCGTAAAAACACGACTATCGGATACATATAGAATAAGCGCGGCTGCATCGAAATGCATCTCTCTTAATTCCGCGCGAATTAAAGCGATAGAATTTAAGTGTCTAGACGGGGATATAAATGAATTTAGCATTGCAAGTCCAATTGTCTGATTTAAAAAAATTGACGACTTTGCGAGACGGATATCCGTTCTTACTCGTTCCAACTATCAGGGGATCTTTCGCATCTTGGATTTTATCTCCGTTCAAAACGTCCGTGTATGTGTTTGTGTGTATATGTATTATATCCTTATTAATATTTAACGATTTCTACGGCGATGCTTCCGGAGACCAGCTCCGCGCGCTATACATATATTTTCATCTATGGGGAAATTTAACGATGAGTGTGTGCTTTTGATCGCTTAATTTATATTTACACGCACATACACACACATATTTATATATATATGCATCTGTGCATGTAAATATGCTAGCACGAAACTCTGTATAGGGAAGGTATCGGCCCGTCGATAATACTCGCGCTAATTATCATTTGCTCATCAGCTGATTGGATCGACGACAAAGTGGACGCATAGAAACTGTCGCGATTTTACATTCAACTCAATATGGTTTATTTATAAGTTAAGGGAGGTCGTGTTTTCTCTCGACACTATATTTCCTCGCATAATTATTATTTAAATTTTTCCTGTGATTATTATTATTATTATTATTTTTTTAAAGAAGAATAGAGGGAAAAAGCAATCTTTTTTAATTAGAAGCCATAATTTGCGTCCGCTCTGTCGTCCTGCTGTTAAACGTATGTTTTTGTCGGCGGACAGAATCACTTCCCTGGCAGTAATAACTAGCGTATCAACACGAATAAATATTTTCCTAACGCGCGTAATATACATAATTCAATTTGATCTATTTAATGTATCAACTAATACAAATTTCATTTATGCGCTAATTCAATTTAATAGTCGATCTTATCTTAGCAATTAGTAGGAAAAAAACTGTAGGGATATATCTTTCTAGGGACTATCATTCTTCCTTGATTCCACGATCGCACAAAAGTATCTGATGCGCGAATACAATTGCGATTCTTTTTTTTTTTTTTTCTCAAAGTTACTATTTTACTTTCCGCTTACGCTTGCAACTGCGCACCAGCTTTACACACTAATGGTCCTCAATCTTTTTTTTTCTTCTCAAGAGCAACCCCAAATTGTCCGTATGTTACACTTGGGTGACACGATGCAGAGAATAAAAGAAAAGCAAGTTGAAAAAACAGCGTAACAATAGCATTTCTCGAGATAGCAACGTGAGCAATAAAAAAATGCAATATTATTCTTCTTTTCCCCGCTCGACTTTTCCAGAGATAAGGAAAAGCAAAAAAACCCTTTTTTCCCGAAACTGTCCAGATAGCATTTCTGTACAACTCCGGGATCAATATTTGCGTCGGAATTCGTAATAGAATCTAGCTTCTCAATACGAACACGACACCGCTGTAACACCCTATACTTAAAACGACGCAACAAACCCAGAAAAGGATCTTCTCCAAACTCATCTAAAACAAACGTCATCGTGAAAGCAGAAAGAGAGTTCCCATCAGCCTAAGAGTCTCGATCGCGCTTCGATCGTCTCTTTTACACACTGGTGGTGATCTGCTCTATGACGGTGATGTCCCGGTGACGTCGTGGACGCATCCGGTACGGGTCCTGGTGGCCGAGACCCTCGGGCACGCTCTTGCTGGGCCGCAACGGCGCGTGGAATTGCGGGTGACAGTAGTGATCGGGCTCGTGCATCCGCTCGGCGATGTACTCCCGCTCGCGCATGTTGTCCTCCACGTCGAGCGGCACGTGCAGGGACTGCGACTTGGGCAGCCGAGGCCGCGGCGGCGGCGGACAGGCGCATGGTGGCGGTGGTGGCATGACGCCGAGGCTCGAGAGCCGCGGCCCCGGCAGCAGCGGCGACGCCGGCTGCCGTCCCCAGCCGACCAGGAAGAGCAGCGCCGCGCCGCACAAGGAACTCAACGTGCACGCGTAGTAACCCACCCGCGGGCTGTTCGCGTTCATGTAACCTGCGTCGAGCGAGAGGAGAGAAAGTCGAAGTGCGATTAAATTCGTCGTCCATTTATTTTCGCGCCTGCAAACCGGACGAGGGATGATAGGGATGCTGACACTCGGACCCGTCGCGCTTTTATACGGTATGAGGGATATCTTGGGAAAGCTGAAGGATTTTTTTCACATTTTCTGAACCCGAAGTAAGGGAAAAAGAGAACTGTCTCTCTGTATAATTTGCGCTCTTTTTATATGTAATAATTATAATGAATGTTTGAGATTATTGTGTCACCAAAAGAAGATAGGAAGAACGTGATACAACATTTCATAATTTGTTTGAATATACAGGTATCTAAATAGGTGCGAAACATTTTTGGAGATGGTTCTTCGTCGAAAATTAAAGGGGGTTTCTTATATAAGTATATATTCTTATATCCCTTCCTGAAGAGTTAATTTAAATTTTTTTTAATAATAAATATCCTTTTTATTAATAGAAAATATCCACCAAGTTTCATTTTTTGTCTAAAATTTGAAAAAATAATAAAAACTTAATTTTTATCTTCCTCTTTAGAAAAGTGTAACTCCTCAAGAAGAGACATAAGAGTATGTGTTTATATAAGAAATCTCCTTAATTTTCGACAAAGAACTATCTCCTAAAATTTTTCGCACTTATTTATATATGTCCTATATAAAATTTTTTGACGTGAAATCTGAAGTAGGGGAAAAAGATTTTCATAATAATTTCCCCTGATTATAATCATCGCATATAAAAGAACGAAATTATTATGAAAATCTTTTTCTTCTACTTCAGATTTCACGTCAAAAAATTTTATATAGGACATATATAAATAAGTGCAAAAAATTTTAATAATTATTAAATTTTAATAATTATTAAATATCGCCGATGATTGGACGATATAATGGTACTTTTTTAAAAAATGAAAGAACGGAATAAAAAATTTCATAATCTATAAATTGTTCGTCTAAATATATAAAATTTTGAAAAATCTTGATAAATAAAAAAATGTAGACTTATCTTTCTTCTTCAAATCGATAGAGAATCAATATCCTTGACTAATGATGCCAATTATTCATCACATTGAATGTCATACGTAAGCTGAGGTGTAATGGATTAAAACATTCCCTTCTCTCTTGAATAAACATTTTGTCACACTTAAATTTCGATGTTTTTACATCTCACTTTTCGGAGTAAATTACAAAAGATCATGCAATATAACAAAGGTGTCTCTGCGAGTCGATGAATTTTCAGTGACTGCATTAAGCTATTTAAAGTGACCAAAACTTGCAGTTGTACAAGCGCTTGAATACGCTGACAGTTGTCATGTTTCCTTGAATATTCTCCTCTCAGCTCGCAACAGCAGTATTTTCCCCAATCCCTTTCCTCCCCGCGTACATTATTATTTAGGATGCTGGGGCATTAAATTCATACACAAGGCACCGTAAGACTATTAGTAGGGACGGATTTAGCGAGCAAGCGGAGCGGATTTCGCCCAGCTTGGTGCTTTAAAGCTCTAATACTGTTGCGCGTCTTTGAAGAATTTGCGTATAAAGAAAGTACCATGTATATACGGTTTTATAAAATGAACGGAAAATGTGGGACGAATCTCTTTACAGGAAATGCTACGATAAGAGACACGTAATATCCCCTTCCGCGTTACATCTGATATATTTAATATTCGTCATCGCTCGAATGAAAAAAAAAGTAGTATGAAAGTATATAATCTTCTTTTTCAATAGAGACTTTCTTAAATTTTCATTTCGCGAATTTATAAATATATTAGAGAGAGAGAGAGAGAGAGAAAGGGATGTGGAGGAGAGAGCTTGCATCGAGGAAGATTCCTGGTTTCTACGCAAAGTATCATAGAAAAACGAACTTGAATTAAATAAGAAAAAGCTGAAAGTGCGCGCCTTTTGCGGAAAACTGATCTCGTAACTTTTGCATACCTGTGAGAGGAACTCCGAGAAGGATCGGCAGAGCTTCCGCAGCTTGAACCAGAGCCCAAGATCTGGCGAAATGTCTCGCTCGCAGCCTTTCCAGAGCCAGCATCTTGAGAGAGTAGAGCGCGCCGCCGAGCGAGGCGCCGTAAAGCCCGGAGGCCAGTACGAGTCCGTGATAACCTTGCACGCTACCAAGAGCCACTTGGGCTACGGCTTTAAGCAAAGAGGAAACGTAATTCGGATCGATAACCCTTGAAAGAAGAGGGAAAGGTAGAGCCGAATCTACAATTTCCACCTATTTATACGTGCAAAATTTATACGCCGCGTGATATATATTTTTTTCACTCGTATTTTTCACCACCGTAATTTCTCTCCTATAGAAAGCGCTTCCGCGCAGATTCGCCGATAAAAGTCGAGCTTTTCTTATCGGATAAGCTATATAGCGAACAATGCTTCGGGAAAAAATTTTAGACGCTCTCGCAGCAAATACATCTATTTTTAAAAAATTTTAGAAATTTTCTCTCCTTTGCGAAATTTGGTTTAGAAAAAAAAAAAAAAATCAAAGAATCTATTAAAGTGAGATACAGGAAGGATAATTAATCCGATAAATAAAAAGGCCTTTCGGAATTTCACGGTAGTATCTCACTACTGCGCGGAAAGAATTTTCTCTTAGAATTCACCCTGAATACCCTACACAGTAAAATTAATCGAACATATTTTATATCTTATTGTGGTAGATATTAATATTTTTTATTGTGGTAAAAAAATATTAATCAGAGAAACTCATAAAATTCTTCCAACACTATATTGTCCCGCATTACCATGATTTTCAGGCTAAACTCCGAGAGAGAATTCCCTCTCGGTGTGGAGGAAGATGATCGAACGTCAACAGCGATTTGGAGTTCTTGTTTCGCAATTAAACTCGTCGACGTGTAAACGAAAATGATTACGGAGTCTAGCTTATACTGACCGACCCCGATGAGGGCAGCTTGGCAGAGATATTGCCTGGACACTAGGCACTGAGCGGAAGGTCTGGCGGTGACCACCCCCCAGGCTGCGCATCCGAGTGCGGCCGCCAGCCCCAGACAGGTCTGCAGCAACACCAGGGCGCTGGCCTCCAACCCGTCCTGGTAGCCTTGCAGCGCCTGTAAGCGATGTTTCTCATTAAGGGTTTCGCGCGCGCGGAGAAAACGCGCGCTATATCGAATCAACCTCATCTCGCCGACACAATACCGCCGGTAATGACGCGCGTCTAATATCGATTATCGAAATTGGCTCGTCCGACTCGCCGAGATTAGCTTCGGGGAGAGATCGCGGAGATTAGGAAACTCGAGGCTCCCTCGTTGCTTTGATTCGCATAAAATACCACTTCGATCCGGCCGCGGGGCATTCTACTCCTTCTCGACCTATATCGATAACCCTATATCTCTGGGCCAATTATCCCTCTTGAAAATATCTCTCCCGAAGTTGAGGAAAATTTGCTTCGTTAAAATCCCCCAAAATATATCGTACGGAAACATTTTTCTTAACCCTCGCGCAAGAGAAGATGAGTAAAGTAGTTTTCGTATAGGTTGTTTTTTCTTCGCGACATCAGGTTTCTAAGTGATTTTACGGTGATTAATGATATACTTCTCCATGGTGGATGGAGAGGAGAGGTTCTCGAGTTCTTGCCTCTCAATCGCACTTAGACGTAGAGTGCACTTACGATGTAGAAGGCTGGAGTGTAGAGACCGAAACCGGCGGCTCCGGCGGCCAGCATGAGCATCCTCACGGGACGGGATCCCAGAGGGCTGAGATCGACCAGGGGCTGCCTCGGCATCTTGGTCGCGGATTTCTTCTCCTTGAGCTTGCTGCGCTGATTCTTCAGATGCAATATCGCCCGGCGTTGCGGGTGGTATAGAGAGGCGCTCCGGTATATCAGTCCCAGAAAGAAGGCCAACGAGAGCGCGCCCGTTACCGATTGAAGCCCCAGCCGCCAGCCCAGCTTCCTAGGAAGAACGGAGACACGATTATCCGGCTATCCGGAGAGAGAGAGAGAGAGGGATCCGCGCGTTGAATCACACAGCTGAACAGGCGCCTTCTTACGTGCCACATCCGGAGTTCGTGAGCTTCGTAACATCCCCTAGTTACGTTTCATATCGCCCTCCTAAAGCTACTGCATTTGCATTTCTGAGAGAAAATCCTTTCCTCGCGGCACGTTTCTTCTCCTCGTTGAAGTTATTATCGTATTTATCTTCGTTCGCGAATTCTCCCCAATAATGTTAGGAAAATGATATTTGAATATTTCATTCGATATATTTTATTACATTATAATATTGAAATAAATAATATATCGAATAAAATATTCAAATGTCTTTTTCCTAATATTATTGGAGAGAATTCACGAACAGGATAAATATGATAATAATTATACATATATATATACCATTCTTTCTTCGTTTCGTTTAATCTAACCGAAGCGAAGTTATATTATTCTTTGATAATAAAATCTCAAAAATTGCAATGCATGCATAAACATTATTATTGCAATTTGCATAAAAGTATTTATTATATTATTATAAATATAATATGATTTTCGTGCCGAGACATTGCGATTGCGAGACATGATCACATGATCAGTCTCGCGCAAGCCGTGCAGCGTGGCGGACGTATGGAGACGCGTAAATCTAATGAAAGCATAAGTATTTTGATCATAAGATTCTTGTAGAAAATTTATTTTTCTGTTGAAGACTTAAATATTAAATTTTTATGCATGTTGCAATTTTAAGATTTTATGATTAAAGAATAATATAACTTCGCACGTAATTATATTCGATTAGATTAAACAAAATGATAAATATATGTATATTATATACATATATTAATATTTGTAGATTTTAATAATATTAAGAATATTAAACTACATAATACTTTTTAAATATAATAACGACACGTTTATTATACAAATTTTATTTAGTATGACGTAAAAATACCTGAAAATATCGCTATAAAAAATCGTTTAAATTGTAATTGATTATATCATAATGTAAGAAATTAGTTAATTCCTTCGTTTATATTGTTATAAAAGTGAAATGACTCCTATATAATAGCTCTAGAAGAGACAATCTTATCAAAGAGTAATTTCACAAAAATTTGCGTTAATTAGTTCGAGAAGATAATAAGGACGATAAACTTTAACACGATCACGTACATTTTTTTTTAAAGCTCAAATATTATGCATTATTATTCGCGCTCGTAACTTCCGCAATTTGTAATAAAAGTTGTGTAATAGAGTAGCTTTTGCCCTGACGCTGATACAGCTGATACGATTTATGAAACGTAATGTTCCCACACTATAACGTTGCAACAAGCAGTTACGCGAAATTCACGTATACATATATACAAACGCATCGTCAAACGATATTACGTTTAACTTGAGAAGAACATTTACTTTCATCTTGATTATTTTTCGTTTTCGCAAAATCCTTAACAAGAAAATATTACGATACTGTTTAAGTTTTACTGCTCTGCAAAAACGCTCTTTAATATTTCCATACAGCGTAATCTGAACATTCCGCGGAAAAATCTCATTTTTTATTTCAATATTTAGTCAAATAAAGTGAAAAGCATTATAATATAATATAAAACCGCGATAAAAATACTTAAGCTGAACTGTTTTAAAATATTTTATTTGAGCTTATAAAACAAGAACGTGAATGGAACGTTAACTCGTCGACTGGCAAAGATGATAAGTTGAGGTCAAGAAATAAAGAAAAATTTGGAAAAAGGAAACCATTTAACTAAAAAAATACCAATCTGCTAGAAAAAACATTTTATAAATGTAGAGTCAATTTTCGCGTAATCGAATTATCAAAGAACGGGCGAATATATATTCCCACACGTACTCTGTATCTGTCGGATGTTTTTCTTTAAGAAAAAAAAAAGGGAATAAATACACGGGAGAGATGTAACAATTTTTAAGCTCCCTCATTTGCGCGCAAAGGGGAAAATGTTGGGAAAATACGCACATAAAGAGAAATTATAAAATAAGGAGTAAGATCTCTTTCTCTCTCCCTCTTTCTCCAGTTCCTCGAGGAATGTATTCAACGTATCAGTAGGGAGCAAAAGTTGCGCTTTAATCCCTGGGCGTGAGGATAATGAGGCTACGGCTCATGACTATTCATAGTACACATCCCGTACGTTTTTATCACGAACACGGCCGTGTTATCTCCGCGAGCGGTTTAAATTTATTTTCCCCCAGACCTGTACCGCCGACGTGTACCTTTCCTCATTCGCTCCCTATCGAATCCCTATGGTATGTATGCGCATTAAATGTTTATCGCGTATGCGCTCGGGTCAGAGATGAGATGATGGTTCGATAACGCATACCGCGTGTAACAAACCGCCCCGTTACTCGATATACATACATATGTGTCAGAGAGAGAGAGAGAGAGAGAAGGTAAAAAGGAAGGAGAGAGCAAATTATCCTGCAAAAAACCGGCTTGCAGCACGTACGCAAATTGGAGGGCACGTTTTGACACCCACGTTACCACGGAATTTTATATATGTATATTAAACGATATCTATTTTTCATGTATGTATGTATGTATGTATGTATGTGTGTGTGTGTGTGTCTATATGGAACATATACATGCAGCCGATCGTGCATCGGTGCGTATAATGGGCGAGGAAGTAAAAAATTCACCACATCTCTCTCCCTCTCCGATGGTGAAAATTGTAGCGTGGAAATATGGCGTTTCCCCGAGATTTTTACGTTGACGTATAGATACGATCTAGTTTTTCGAGTTTAAAAGATAAGAGATATTTAATTTTGCGACAATAAATTTTACGGTATAACGTGAATATATTATATTTTAAATTATAGTTGATCCCTTCTTCCTACTTCTTTGTATCTCTCATCCTGCAGGATTATCATTGTATTTAAATAATTATTAATTTAATGCGTAAACATAATAAATGATATAAACCATAATGTATAATAAAATGTGGATAACTGATTATACAAAATATTGTATATTCCATGATTTATTATATCTATTCATTTATAATAAAATGCTTTCCAAGTATTCATAATCTCGTCATATTGATTTAATTCGATAGGTGTAATTAATGAACAGCAAACTGAACTGAAAAATCGTCAAGAATAACCTTTGACCAATTTTTAATACACTTTGAACAGGTATTTTCTGTTCGATTGCACTTTTCAAGTTGGAAAAGAAGTGTCGTTTACTTCGTTTAGAAAGAAAATAGAAATAAGAACGCAAAAGAGAGAAAGAGACGTAGGAGAGACGCCACTTGTGGAAGAACAAATCTGATATCACCACCCATAATCATGAAAGAAATTCGCAGCATCCGGCAAACTGTATCCGCATTGCGGTGATTCCCACGCAAGATAAAACACGGGGATTATCCGTGACTAGCGTTCCTAGTAACGTTAATCCATTAAACAAACAACGTTGCGTCTATCGAGAGCGAAAAGTTTTTGTTTCCCAAGTAAAATTGCGAAAGCGAACGAATTATAATCTACACGCGCACTCAAATATTTCATCCCCCTTCGGAGAGAAAAAACTTTTCAATAAGTTTTCAAGATCAGCACACGACATTTTTACATATCGATTAAAATTCTGATATAATAATTTTTGAATTTTTCATATATCACACAAATATAGAAGAGGAGAAAAATGTCATAAAATTACACAAAGAAAATATAATTAATATAAAAAATAAATAATGATATAAAGCAATGCTAAATTAATACCTAATCAAAACATCACATACCAATGCTCAAGCTCGTATGACAATAAAAACAATGATAAATTATTAAATTAAGGCCATGTGTAACGAGCAATACGATATTATTTTATTATTGAGAAGAAAATTCTTAATTTGAAATAATAATTATACAAACGTTTCGAGCTCTACTTGCTCCTCTTCAGTGCGCAAAAAAATAGTGATAATAAATAACGATAATAAATAAATACATAAAATTCTAATAAAAAATCCGCAATACATAGTCAATATAAGTTATATAGTTGAGTCATAGTTAAAACGCAAAATATATTTACAATGAATTGAGACCATTAAAATAGTTCAACAAAGTAAGAACCCAATTAGAAGCAGAATGATTCGTCCGGTTATTCATAAAATATATTAGAATTATTAATAAAAACTTGGAGTGACACTTATACATTACTCCAAATGAACCACTTATCGTTATTTGACGAAAGTCCCTCGATCTGGCAATGATTATGTTCATCTTCTCCAAATTATTTGATATTTGTTAACTGAATTTAAAGAATTTATTCAATTGTAAAATAGGATTCCACTAATGTGTATGTGAAAAAAAGATTAAAAATTATAAATTAAACTAACTACTAAAATATTGAACCTTTATGCTTACAAATTGTTCCGAATAACTTGAGATGACGATGCTTCTAATTGTTGTTGGTCTTATTGTTAGTACTTGACTGTTGTCTAGTCTTTTAAAAAGTCAAATAAATAGGTGTCAGATCTCACAAAATAAACATTTACATAAGTCTAAAAATTCGATATTTCTTCTAGAATGTCGAAATACGCGTTGTTAAGCAATTCGGTGTCTGTGTTATTATTTATACCATGCCTTTGTTCCTTGATGTGTATCATTTCCGAGATAAGTCTTTTATAATAATTAGATTCAATATCAAGTATTTTAACGTTATCCCAATCAAAAGCATGTTTTTTATCCATAATATGTTCAGAGACCACAGAATGCTTGGAGGAATCAAATTTAATATTATTCATATGCTCTTTTAGTCTAGTGCGTAATTTTCTTTTGGTTTGCCCAACATACGAAGCTTCACAATCCTTACAATTAATTTTGTAGACAACATTATTATTATTGTTATGCACGTTTTTGTCCTTGTGGACTTTAATTAATTTGTTAAGATTATTTAGACAACGGTATCCTACTCTGAAATCTGATTTTTTTATTGTCGATGCTATTGTCTCA